CGCCTTATTTAGGAGATCGTGATAAAAGTTGGAAGTCGCGTTGATTTATGTCAACGCATGGTCTCCGGCACTCCGCCGCCAGAATCCCCCAGCTGGAGGAGTGGCGGATTGGAGGACTGGAGGAGCGGAGAATGCCACAGGGTCTCATTGAATTTAAGTGCCAAATTAGGAGCAATATTGATGCACAATTGCCGGGGATTCGGTTCTCCTCGGGCTCTCCTGGGATCTTGGCATCCTCGCATCCTTGCATCTCTGCATCTTTGCATCTGGGGATCGCCCTTAGATTGTCAACCGAACTGAAGTGAGCTGTCACGTTTGCGGTCTGCTTATGTCAGCTTCAGCTGCAACCGGCTGCAGTCGCTCAGATTTTGCGGCCCGGCTCGAATTGCCCGCCTTTAAGCCCTTTAAAATGTGTTGTTATGATCGGGCGGCGGCGATAAGTTCGCCTTCAGATGGCAAGGAGCTGGAGCCGATCCGAGTCGCCAGCTTGCAGTTGGAGCCGCAATCGCAATCTGGCAGCCTTGCCACAGACTCTAAAGTTACGCGGCATTGGGTTTTAGGTTCTGGCTTTCGATGCAAATCATTTTACGTGTTGGCGACATTAAGCGCGAAATGACCCCGTTATCCCACTTGTCATCATCACTTCATAAATTAATGCTAACCGAGAAGGTAGCCAGGAGACACTGGAGACCAGCCAGTGGGCTTTTGAATTATTCTCCAGGGCCAGGAAAGTGCACAAAGAAAAATAGTGGACCTATATAGCACTCCATCTGAATCAACTTATAATCTGAGATACAAGCTAATCTATATAACTATCTGAATCAACTTAAAATCAATCTGAGATACAAGCTAATCTATATAACATTCTATCTGAATCAACTGACAATCCATCTGAGATACAAGCTGAGCTTCAATTTCAAAACTACTCTTTTGGACGGTCTTCTAAACTGGAGTTAAGCTCAAATATTCCTTTGACCCACATAAAATTTGATGTGTAACTTCCTTGCGGGGATTAGGACTTTGGTACCAAAGTTTTTGTTCTATTCCCTGGCCGGGAAGCTCGCCTCCTCGCGCAGCCCCTTGCAATTGGCCTCAAATTTGTGCAGACAAATTGGTGCCTGGGTGCCTGGGTGCCTTGGACTTGGCCAAAACGAAACCGAGCCAACTGCAGCTCCAGCTCCGACTCCAGCTCCAGTGAGACACTCGGTCTGGGACTGCGTCTTTTGGGCGTGTGTGCTCCGCTTTGCGATTACGATCACTTTTAGATCCAATATATCAGGGGCGCGCTGACGTCGTACATTGGACGACAATTGATATAAGTTGTGGTGAAAAGTTTAGTGGCATTCAACGATTGCTTTGCTAGATTAAAAGCGACAGGCAGCCAGTTGGGGCTGCGACTGGAAATGGGGAATGGGAACGGGAATGGGACTGGGAAGTGAACATGGATCGGGAGATTGGCTGGAGATCTGGTCCTGGTCCAGGACCGGGATCTGAAGCCCTGGCCGGCCACAAATCTTTTCGGCTCCGCCACAATCACAATGCCAGTAAGAAAAAAGCAAAAGCAAGAAAACAAAAAATGCGGAACAAAAATAAATAAATAAAGGGAAATAAGTTAAGAAGCAGGCAGACAAGTCAGCAGACAAATAGCCGCGACTTTTTGTACGTGCCGCTTTGGAATCCGTTCGCTTATACACATATGTATGAATGTATATCGCGGCATATGCACATACTGCCTCCGAGGGTGTAGATTGCTCATATGGAGTGCCTTGCTCCCTGCACTTTATGGTAGTTGGGATCTGTTAATTGCAGATACAGCAGCCGCCACAGGAGCGGCCGCCCGTTAGCCGTAAAAAGCTGAATTATGCGATCCTACGTGACGACAACCCACCGCAGCATTCCAATACGTCGCACTGATCCTATCGGCAACGTATATGGCCAGACCCACTGTCACTATTACGTGTAAATTAGGGGACACCTGAGGTCGAAGACTGCATGCCCTTTCCACTGCGCAGAATATTATGACATACCACTAAGATAGACGTACTTTTGTTGGCAATATCCCAAGGAGTAGCTGTCAGGCGGCATACAACTTCGGCTACACCAACTTCATATAGAGTATTTCAGGTGTTTATCAGCAAATGACATCTAATGAGTTAGACACACTCGCTTAACGGGTCCCAAAGTCTGAATCCGAGTGCCGAAAGGTCTGAGCCGGAATCTGCTGCTGAGGTTGCTGCTCAGGTTGCTGCTCAGGTTGCCCAGATATATCTGCTGCTGACTCGTCGCACCTTCGAGATCAGTTTTTGATCGGTTGGGGAACCTGTTGCCAAATATCTCGCTAGATGGCACTGCGTGAGATTTATCTGCAGACTCGGATAGAAATTTGTGTGAGTCAGTGGGCTGAGAAAACCGTGTTTCTGGTAGCCACTCAGCGGCTGGGAAGAGCGGTGAATCAGGCCGTAAAAGAAATCTGCATTTGCACTCAAAAAACCCAGGTTGTCACCAGTTGAGCGACGGAAATGCTGATTGCGCTACTGAAGAGTTGAATCAGTTTCGGGTTTGGCCAAAAAAGATGACCCAAATTGATGGGAACGCAATAGCTTACTCAAAACAAAAGCGTAAAATTGTCAGTCAGCTGTATCTAAAGATATATATAGTTGGGTGCAAGTGGGTGGGCAGTGGCGCGCCCCTGAGCATCTGCGATATGTCTCGTATCGTATCGGATCGGATCGGCTTGGCTGAGTTCATATTTTGGCTGGGCTGCGGCCAACAAAGCCAGCGGGTGACGGCGCACACAGCGGGCCTCCTCCGTTTGGTCCTCCTTTTGGCCCGGATTTGACTCTGAATGTGACTTCGATAGCACCGATACTGGGTGCCGACTCCTTTGCGCTGCCATCCGAAGTCCAACTGCGTGGCCGTCGTCCTTTGGCCGGCGGAGGTGGAAACAGTTTAGGTTAATGCCATAAGCAGCAGCAGGAAGCGGCGGATGCAGCAGCCCAGCCAGCGGTTAGCTGGAAAACCACACGTGCCTCGGAAGGCGACCACATGCCGCTCCACAGCGGAGGTCAAAATAATAGAAGTGCCACCGAGAAATGCGAGACCAATCCCAAGTGCACGTAAGTTGCGAAAAATCGCAGTTCGCTTTCCTCTTCCTTTGGACCATAAAACGGTTGTGTGGCGCACATAGTTGCAGCAGTTTCAATATTCATCAAAAATAATGGCTTATTCTTAGGAACTACACCTTCGTACTCATCAAAAACACTTGTTTACTCCTAAGGAACTAGATTTAAATACTCCTCAGAAATACCAGGTTGCTCTAAAAAATATATATTAGTCCAGAGCCATTACTCCTATGTGGAAGCAAAAGTTTAAGCCAGATTTGTGAGCCCTACCTATTGTTCTGGCCACTTTTGTACCTGCCGAGATAACCACAGGCCGCATTCCGACCACAGGCCCTATATCTACATGTGCATATGTCTATATGTCCTGGCCCACACTCGCCACAGTAGCTGTGGCAGCATTCGTTTCGCATTTGGAAACGCTTTCATTATGTGCAACTCGCCGTGGGTTTGGTATCCGTATCTGTCTTTTCCGGGATCCTGCCGTGTTGGCTAACATTTAAATTTGTGGAAAATCGAACCGAAGTCGGAGTGAGAGGACTCCTCGCGGGGCGAATGTTACGGCTTATCAAAACATAGTCAATATTTAATTAACACGAACGCAGCGGTCCGAAGGGAACTGGGAATTTCGAACTTGAGAAATGATTTATGATCGCATGTGAAATTATATGCCCCGCTCCTTTCACCGTCGGTATTTACCAATTGTGCGAGCCGACAAAGGAGCAGTTGGTCTTAATAGTTTGCCTAATTGTTGGTAAATAGTTAACCTAAATGCTCGGCAAACGTACCGATGAATTGATTATCGCATCCCTCACAGGTACAGTGGGTTCTCGCAAAGGGGAGATACCAGCCACGCACCGGAGGTGAGAAGTTTCCTCAGCACTCCGCACCGTACACCCACGTGCTGCAGATAAGGGTTTGATTAAATGTACGGCAAGACAGTAATTATGACAAATTTAGGCTATATTTTACAAGGAATTTACTTTAACACTTGTGGAATATTTATTATTTAAGCTTATAAAAAGTTTAAAGCACCCCTAAGTCTCAAATGTGATGGGTTCTGAATTACTCTTCAGCAATTGATTGCATTATGGAATTTCCATTTCCATATCACTTTATAATGCAAGATACTTCATTTGCAAAATGCCAGATGTGTAAAAACATGGTAATTACGCTATAAGCTGTCAGAAGTGATCATGGAAATTACTCTGTCAGCTGTCAGCTAACTAAGTCTTGTTATTTAGTAGAGGGAATTAATTGGCGCCATCACTTAAATACCTAACTGCATAGTTAAGCAAATGAGAAGTAAGCAATCTTTTTCATTTATACCCCCCATTTAAAACACATTCAATGTTGGGTTTTGTGATTGAATTTTCTTTTAATTGTATAAATATGTTTATTTAATTACTTATTGTTTCGCCGTTTAACTCTAGGGTCAATTATAAGTTGCGGTACACCGTTTAGCTGATTTATTCGAGGGAAATAAAACAGAAAATGTCCAGGAAACAGGTTGCCATTATTAGGTAAATCATTTTTATTATAAATAGCGGAAAAACATTTACAATCTTATTGCCGGGCACTTAAAAGAAGGAAACAAAACAAAAAACAATTTTCTGATTATTTTTCGTTGATTTTGCGCAAAATTTTCGCTTTTCTTTTCATTCTATTTATTTAAAATTTAAACTTAAACAAAACAATCGCATATCGTAAATATTTATTTAATAATTGTTTTTATTATTATTATTAATTATTATTAATTTTATGTAATACATTTTCAACGTGTTTTTCTTTCGATTTTAAAATACAAATACTTATGACGTAAGTGCGTGGGTGTTTGTTTTTGATTTTTTGCGTTTTAAATATTATTATTAAATTGTAATTAATTTTTATTATTCATAAAATATAGCGAGAGTGTGTGTATGTGTGTAAGTCGGTAATATGTTTTAAGGCAAGATATTTGCAGCTGATAGTTGTCGCATGTTGCATGCTGCATGTTGCTGGTGTGACGCATGTTGCATGCCGCATGTTGCTGGTGCGCTGCTCTGTGTGTTGCTGTTGCTGCCTGCACTTTTAAAAGCCCAAGAAGCTGTGGCTTAATTGCACTTTCGCTGGCGACACTTGCAACACATGTGAGAAAGCCAGCAGCAACATGTTGCTGTTGTGTTGCATGTGTTGTGTTGTTAGTTAGTTTGCTGAGTTTTGCTGGGACTTCTGTTGATTTCTGCTGCTTTGATGCTGATGGGATGCTTGAAGGATTGAATGGATTCTTCTAGATGTTGCATGTTGCTAGTACGTTGGTTGCAACTTAATTTTGGGAAGTTCGGTCAATAATTGCAGTTAAAAGTGATATTTTCTGCATTGCTGCAGCTAAAAGCATATAGCTGTTGCACTTTATTGTTACGTTCTCAGCTATTAGATGTTGCCAGTTGCAGGCTGCCTCAGGGTGCGCCTTCATCACTTTCCGAAGCAGCCACGCCCACAAGTGTCCATGTGAAGATTTCTGGAAATATTATTGAAAATATGGTGGCTGCTGTTGCAATGTTCGCTGCAACTGTTGCAACGGTTGCCACCGCTGCTATGCTGCAACTGCTGCTGTTGTGCTGCGCCTGCGCAACATCTGCATATTTGAGTGTGTCTGCTGTTGATGGGGGCGTGGCAAGTGCATTGTATAGACCAGATAACCGAATAGATTGAAAACCAACACCTGAACTTAGCATTCCGTTCACTATAATCGCTTGTCGTGGCTGTAGATTGCATCTAGTGGTTTAAGCAATGTTGCAGTTGCTGCTGTTGCAGGTATTTATATGTTTAGAGAGTGGTGCATGAAGAAGTAGGCGGGTGTGTTGCAGTTGCCTCATCAGATCCCATTCATTCATTATGTGTGTGTAAGATATAGCTGTGATATTGCGTGCTGTTGTTGGTGCTGCGGTGCTTAGATATCGGTTTTACTTTATATATTGCTCTGTGTGTGGTTTTATATATATTTATATATATGTTTATGTGGTATTTTAGCTTATCGCCAAACACACTGACTACATCTACAAATAGAAGAGAGAGAAACAGAGAAATAGAGAATAATTCGTGATGTGGCAAGTAAGTTACAATTATGCATGAAAGTACTAACAAAGCGTTCCACACTGCCAAAAAATATATGTTCTGTTTTAGGTGTTCATGCGGGTGTGCTGATAATGTGATAGAGCTTTTATCAATCAAATTTCCTGAATTCGGGGATATCCCTTTCTTCTGATTGTTAGGAAATAGTTTATCTGCCTGTCGGATTATAAGTAAACTACAGTTTACTGAATCATTTGCATAAACTACTGTCTATTGTAAATTCAAAACTAATATATTCCAGGTATCTATATTTATGAGTTCAACTCATTAAGTCTGTAGGCAGCTTATCTCACATTGGGGGTTTTCTAAGTGCAAATATAATACAATCTTTCCAAGTAAACTGTCCTCAGTTCTGGATTTCCTATAACCAACACCATTAAAAGTATCCGATTTCAAATAATTATAGCTAGCTTAATCCATGCATTGTTTCCTTGATATATGTATATTTACACGCGGAAGTTCATAATCATATGGATTTTATCAGTTCGACCCATATCGACTGATATGATCAGTGGTAACTAGTTTTATATAAGCAATTAGGTGTTTCACTGTATCCATAAGAATGCTTACATGGGAAAATACCCATGAAAATGATATTTAATGAAGATACACAGGTTTTTCGCCACTCTTTGAAGTTCAAGTGAAAGTAAATTCCTTTGTCTGTGTGAAAACCATGTTGAGCTTAGCCCGGAAAGTTTGCTGTGCGTGGAGATGGAGTGCATCGATGGGAACTGTGGAACTTAGGGACCTTGGAACTGGGGAACTGGGGATCCGCTCGGGATGTGGCTTACCTGTGCTGGCGCAGATTGTCCCGCTGCTTGAAGTACTTGCCGCACACCTCGCACGAATAGGTGATCTCGGGGGACTTGTGGGTGCGCTCGTGGATCATCAGGTTGTACGGCTTGGTGAATCGCCGCTGGCAGTACTTGCAAATGAACTCGCACTTCGGACGCATCTTGCGGCGGAAATCGGACCGGCAGTCATCGTTGTCGATTCGCATTACAGCAAACATTTTGACAGGCGGTATGTGTACTGGTGCCCGGCGTTTGAGGTTGAGTGCTTGAGTGCTTGAGTGTGGGGTGCTCGTGGTGCTCGTGGTGCTCCTCGTGGTGCGGCGACGTGGGGCTGCTCCGGTGCTCTCCCAGCTGGCTGCTCCCGCTCTCGGTGAATGGGGATTCGTATGCGAGTGACTCCCGCCTGGCGGAGCTCTCTAGTGCGCTCTTTGGCTCGGCAAAGGGGCTTTTCCACTCAATGGGGCCTATTTTCTCGCCTCTAATCGCTATCTGTTCCGATAACACCGCGCTTAATTGCTGCCTTTTTTGGCTGATTGGTCGGTCGGTGAAGAGCGGCAACGTCGCTGCCACTGCCTCTTTCCCCTGTCCTGGCGGCTTTATCTACTTGGCCCGTATATCGCTGCTCTGTGATTTCGCCTCTCCGCCCCCTTCTCGTTTGCCACGGGTGACCAGTAGGTGGTGTTGCGTTTCGGTGGGCGTTATTTATTTTTCCTCGCCGCCGACGTTTAGGTTTGGCTTTTAGTTTATGGCGCACTTTAAGGCAGACACCTAAAACAGAGGGAGACGCAAGGTTTAAATGAAGTTAGCAACGCCTGCGACAACTTTTATGGGTCAATAAATTTCAAGCAGAATATATGCACATATTTATATGTAAATGTCCCAGCTGATACCCAAACAGTTGCGGTCAAATTGGTAGCAAGTTCGAGATATCAATTTAATATTTTTAGAATACCATTTGTATAAGTAATTTCTGAATTTATAAGGCCGCATACCAATTTTCGCAACATTTCGTTAAGAAGAACCCAAGTTACAAGGGAACATTAAGATAACCTATGGAATCAAGCTTCTGTTGGTAAACTATTCAACAAATTTTTGGCTAAACCGAAATGCCATTATTTTGACCACAACTGCGTACATATTATATCCACAAATAAGTCAAGATCACGCAACATGAAATCGCCAATGACTCATTAAAGGCAACCGTATCCGCACCTCACACGCGGTGTTGACATTTACAAATCACCCCGACTTCCAGACAACTGTTTTTCACAGTTGCTAACCTTCGGCGGGCCTTATAATGATTTGTCTTCAACGATACCAACGAGTGTTCGCCGTTGTATCTGGGTATATGTACACTTAATATATACATTTTCTTTCAAAGCTTCAGCGAAGTTCATTGACGGAAGAGCACTGTACCTACTTCCGCAAACACAGTTATTCCATTAGAGGGGTAGATTTGGGAGTTGGGAGATTTTACACACCAACATTCTTTGCATCCTACTAACATCATTAAAAATTATAGAACGAACTGAAGGATACTCTTGTGATAATCGAGAACTTAAGTACTGAAACCTTAATGAAACCATTTTGAAAGGGATTCCTGCAAGAAAAAGACACCGCATACCAATTTCAGCGAAGTTATGACCATTAATACCCAAGTTCCCATGGTCGGCTTGCGTTTCTAAATTAAGTGAGTCATCTCGCAGCCTTCGGCGACTCCCCCGCCGCGTTATGGCCAAGTACAGTTGCCAAATTCCGCCTGTTTTTGGCCACTTCATTAAGGTGGCGCTGTAACAAGTTTATTTTTAATTGGCGCCTTGCGTAGCCGATTGAAATTTATGCCCATCGATGCGTATTCCCATTCCCACAACCATTCCCGCATCCATTCCATTCCATTCCCTTCCCGCCCGCGCGGTAGTTAACAACTGTTATTTTTTATGTAATTTTATTTTTGTCATTTCGGCGCCGCTGGATCTCCGGCTTCTTAGCCAGGCCTTTTCATTTCGGGATATATATTTCCCAGATTTACTGGGACCTTTTTGTTTCGCTCATGGTATTCGGGAATTTTTCTGCGCGAAACAAAAGCCAGCGCTGACTGGTAGCGACAAGCGGCTCGGCAAGACCCGATTTCGATATTTATTTATATGTTATGGTGCTTTCAGCTCGCAGCTGGAACACTTTTGGGACCGGGACCGGGATCGGAATCGGGACTGGCAATGGGAATTGAGATTCGTATTCGGATTCAGAATCGGAATGGGAATGGGTATGGAAATGGAAACGGGTTCGGCCTGGGGATCGGCGGTCGGGGAGCTAACGTTGACAACAAAAGGCAAACGTCACAGCGGGTGCTGCACCGGCCGCAGACGGTACGTAGTTATTGTCATTATAACATTAATGCCCACTAAACATATTCAAATTATAACACTGAGTCGCGCTCGAGTCCTGCACTCAGAGAAAAAACATGTGCTGCACCAAAAAGTTAATATAACCGCGTGAAACGAGGCTCGAACTATGATCTACACTTTTCAGATGTTGCCTTTAAAGACAGCAAGTAATAAGTGTCACTTAGCTGGCAACTTTCAAATACAAACTACCCATTTTGATACCCCGCTTTCGCCCAGTGGGTGAGGTGCAGGGGTTCGGGCCTGGGTCGCTGATCGCATTGGTCATGTCTGGCGGGAGACCGGGACTCGGCTGAGATCGGCTCAAAGGCCTGGCCAAAAGAGACTCCTCCAATGTTAATTTGTGTACACAATGTGGCGTCACATTGGCATTTTAACGCCGTTAATCATGCGACACAGGGCGCCTGCATAAGGCCATCCATTCGATATGGATTCTTTGGGTCCGGGTCTCTCCGCCTCGATCGGTCTCGCGTTTGGCCATGCTTTGCTTTGGATTTGGAGTTGGACTCGGACTCGCACTTGGACGTGGATTTGTATTAAGCTTGTCTCTGGGAGCGTGGGCCTAAGTGGAGCACCATTAGCCACGGGTTGCTCTCCGGGGTTAAGCACTCTATTTGGCCATTTGCTCGAATGAATGCGTCGAATGAGGATGGAATTGTCTGCAGTCTGCCGGATGGAGCCAAAAGGGCGGGGAAACCTTCGAGAACAGTGAAATTCGAGCTGACAATTGAGTGAGCCCATCAATTTGGTAGGTTGAGTGAACTGGGCAGGGGCATTTCAATAGTAAAGGTGTCCAATGGCACAGGGCCTATCCGAGATTGCAACTATGCGTACTTGGAGTTAACAAATATTGGTCAAATCGTGTTAACTCAGCAAAATACCTGCAGTTATAATCCCAATCTTTTGATCAAATTGGTAAACCTTTCTAATCCGTTGAAAATCCAAGCAAAACAATCATCCGAATCCATCTGGAAACCTGTGCAAAGTCATGGCAAATCCAACGGGCGTTACTTGGCACCTTCTCCGGTCCGGGACTTTAAACGATCTCCAACTGTTAGTATTTGGCAACTGGACATTGCAATTCGCTTATGCGAAAACGAACACCCACAGAAACGAAGGAAAACTGCCCAAATATTGTATAATAAACTGTTGTCCAGCGCAAAGATAATCCCATTAATCCGCACTGAAAATAATTAGTGTTGTACACACACACAGTTTTGGACGGGAAGGTTGAGATCTGAGGAACTGAAGATCTGGAGATCTCTGGGAGATCGTTTGCACAGCATGATCCTGACTCTGGACTTTGGGTTTCCGTGTGAAGGGCATGCGAAAGGCGTTAATGCTGCGTGAAATTAGATTTGCAGCGATGGGAAGAGAAATAAAATGGCAAACTGCAAACAGAGAGTGAGATTATATATGGCCAGATCTCTGGTAAGAGAAGTAAGTGCGTCGGGACTTCCACGAAACTCGAGCCTCGAGAGTTACAGTTTAACACCCCAAGATAAATGTGTAGCGGTATGGGCGATAACAGGCTCAAAACTGGGTCCAAAAAAAGGGCTCAAAGCAGTGACACACACGTCGCAGGACGTGGGATATGGTCGAAAGCGATTACCACACTTCTTTCACCTCGCATCGTGGTCATCCCTTTATTTTTTGTAGGAGGCGGACAGTGAGTTGGCAAGGTGCCATTAAAAATTACAACCGAAAAGTGAAAAGAAGAAACCGAAGCGAGAAAAAATGACAATAAAAGGACATAAGGCTGTGAAGACAAAGGCACCGAAGTCCGTTTGATACGAATCTAATTGTGCTAATGGCGCAGAATTCCCGGGAAAAAACACCCACACACATGAGGTCCTCTCCTGACAAACGAAACCAATAAGTCGGTGGAAACAATTAGGATGTGTGGCACTGCCACTTCAGCGCGAACAAAGGAATACCTTCGTGACCCCAAACACAACACACCACAACACACCGAGATACAAAGATACAATGCGGCATGGTATGAGCGATCTTTCCTAGATCCATCGCAAATCGGATGGGAATTTCGTGGCCCTAGCACGTCAATTTAAAACGCTTCTCACCTTCGGCCTGGCAGATATGACAGTTGCTCAAAAGTCGGCGCAGATTAGCTGCCAGCTGAGCCCATTTACCGTAATCGCTTAGCTAATTAGACTCTAATTGATGGAGCGCAGCGGGCGGTCCAGACGAGGTCAAAGATCAGACAGACGGAAAAGAAATGGTCGCTAGGAAAGCGGTAAGAATTCCAGAGGTATTCGAGGCAGAGACCATGGAAATCGAACAAAACGTCCCTATATCGCAAATCTTAGTACTTCTAGAAAGTTCCCCTGGAATATGCGTTCTGATTTCTCCGATTTCCCACCCGGTTCATTGGAATTTTCGCACAAGTGTTAACTCTCAGGTATTTCAAAGTAACTGACTTTGACGCAACTTTTGAACATCTGTTGCTAGCTTGAGCCGTACTCATTGGTATTTCATAATCGAATGAAAAAAGCACAACTCCATGACTCATAGGTAAAAAACTTGTACCAAAACGGCTGATGATGATATGCCAGACATTCTTGGCGATGATTTGCCGTGTTTTGTGCGTCCGCGATCAACCTTCGGCAAACTAGGCTTTAGTCCAATGAAAAGAAGTTTCTTAATGCTGACTCATCAAACTTCTCAACTTCCATTCTTTCGATCTGAAAAATGCCGACGGCTTTCAGAGTTTCCGAGACATGTACATACATCTTTTCTTGGACAATGTTAAAGAAAAGCCATTGAAACTTAAGAAAATTAGAACAGCTCCAAAGTTTAGAATTCAACAAAAAATATTATTTGTTCCGAAAAAAACTTAAGGATACGTTCTATAAGTTTTTCCCAAAAAATAATATACAATTTTTGTTGATTGCGAGAAATTTTAAAATTCTGTGTTGAAAATGTATTCCTTTCGAAAATTCATTACATATTTGTACCATATAATGAGAGATCAATAAACTAGGATGTATTTTAAAGTAGATCACCCATCTTGAGGAATTCGTGTCAAGAGTTGTGAGTAAAAACTTTTTACAATCCAATAGGGAAATGTTCGGAATTGGCGTCCGCCATTTTGGCAAATGGCGACACTTTCTCACGCACACAGAGGGCGAAAAGCTCCGTTGGCCACACGCACGCCATATTAGACGCATCACCCTCTCTCCCTCTGACGCACCAAAGAGCCGAAGTGAGAGGCCCGGGCCAGAAAGAGAGGGCGATACACGCACCCGTGTTACGTGTGGGGTTTTCTTCTTCTTTTCTTTGCTCAGTTTTCAGTTGTCCAATGAAAGCGGCGTAAAACTGGTAGCGAAACAAGTGTGGAAGGGGGAAGAACGACAAGCAGAAGAACACGAAGAACGCCATTGAAGAGAGGAGCTGAAGAAAGACTTACCCAATGGGATGCACTGGAGTTACGCGTTCTTCGGACTCGAGTTGGGGCTAACCGATTTCTTTAGCTGAGTTTCAGTGTCGGGCGATTTTCGTTTCGTATGTCCGTAGAATGGATAGATCGATTTGTATCTCTGTTGAAGGTACTCGCGAAGGAAATGTTACTGATGTTGTTACTGATACTGTTACTGATGAGAGGGAACTATATACGCACGCTCGAGCGGCACAAAGTTGAATGAATGAATGCTACTAATAACTGAAAGAAATAGTAGTCGCCTCTGCCGCCGTCCTCTGTCGGCGTCGCTGCCGGCGTCGCTGCTGGCAAGTTGAGGAAGCGAGATCATCGCTCTGTCCCTGTCTGTTACTCAATTCGGTGGCACTGTGTGTGTGTGCATGTGTGTGTGTGTGTAAGTGTGTGTGAGTCATCCGAAGAGAAACGAAGCAAAACGAAGACCGGTAGCCGAAGCTACTGCTCATGCGCAGCGCTCGCTAGCCATCCCTTTCGCTCGCCCTAAGTTCTTATGCGTAAGTACAGTAGCTGGCAAACGGAAGCCACAAAATGGCGTCTCTTCTAACGGAAGCCAAGCGTAAAAGCCACAAAATGGCGTCACTTACCTATTGCGAAAGCACGAAACTCCGTTTGCTATTTGGCAAGGCGCAAATAATATGCGATTTCTGTTTGGTAGCACTGTGTTGGGTAATATTATTAATAAAATATATTTCACTTCCGAACGCTTCTGTGCGCGAGAGTCAACTGCAAAGTTACGATCGAAAACTTCAGCTTGATGGGTTGAACTTTTTCTGTTTTCCTTTTTTTCGTTACCCTCTTTTTTACAGCCCTCTCTCGGTTGGCTGTCCCTTTCCCACCCACGGCTTGGGTCGCAACGAACGAGTTTTGAGTGTTTCAGCTGATTGGTCGGAGGAAAATGAGCTCAAGAGCGAGCTGAGAAAACTGGAGAGTGAGCGAGCGAGAGAGGGCTACCTGAGTTGAGTGATTTCGAAGGCGTTACCTGAGTTGACTGTTAATTAAGCTTAAGTAAGCCAACATTTCAATTAAGTTTAGGCGACTAATGAGTGAAAGGTGTGCTGGGTAATGCGGGCTGTAATAAGCCAGCGATTTCGTTGGATTTTCTATGACTTCCTCTCTGTCTTTCTAGCTGCTGTTTGGTTAAAAAGGTAACTTTCTTTCACTTATACCTGTGCATATTTTTATAGATGTGGGCGTGGCTTTGGGCGGCGCTCCGTCTGTCCCACTCTTTCGCGCCCTCTCGCTCGCTCACCCTCTTTTTAACTGCTTCTTAACCCGTTTTGGGAGCGAGCGAGAAGCCAAATATAAAAACCAGTGGCAGAGCAGAGCAACCGTATTACGCAGTGCTCGATTTTTAGTGTATTTATCTTCTTTTTTTTTGTGGAGCTCCATTTTGTTTTCAGGGCCTGGGAAACTTTTTTCTCGCATTTCCTTTGGCTTTGCCGCCTCCGCCTTTGTTGTCGCTCCTCTGCTTGTGTGGCCTCTTTAGACCGAAAAATAATACTACAAAAAACACCATATTGATGGTCTGTTTATCTTTTCTGCCTCACCATATCTGTTTATCTTTTACGATTTCTCAATGAAAACTGAAAAACTGTGTCTTTCATTCAGCAAAAACTTCATTAACTCGACACCCAGTGTTTTTAATTAGGTGCGCCAGAAAAGGATTGTTTTTAATTAAGTTTTCGCCTGTCCATAAAGTTTAACAAATTATTTTCGACTGCTTTTGGGCATTTTTAAGTGCAATCCGTTGGCAACTCCACTTTGATGGCTTCATCTTTGTCCGCCTCGCTTTTGTTTCCCTCCGCTTCCATCTGTCTTATTGTTTTTCGGATCAAATTTGCATATTTTAAATGGCCAATCAGCAAACTCGAAAAGGAGACGTATCGACAATTGCGAGCAGCTTCCTTATGAAGGAGAAACTAATTATGAACCCTCCAAAGAAGAGACTGACAAATGACTTGGCTTACTTGGCAATTTTGAAGACTTTGTTTTCAGAGGCGCGGAATGTGATGCAATATTTCACTCCATGTAGAAAGGTTGTTGCTATATAATAATACAAAATTTGGTTCACATTTAGAGCACAATTTTATGTTCTTATGCTCAAAGCAACTAAGTATATTGTAGTTATTATCAAAAACCAATCTATATTACGACTTAATATTCAGTGTTGCTTTTTTCAAGCCTTCATATTCCATAGTTCTGTCTTGATTTTCCGGATCCTTTACTCATCTATCATCTGCAGACAATCTGTCACTTAAAAGAGCCATAAACTTTGACAAATACCTCGCAACTTTCTCAATCTAACAACAAATAAAGTTAGGGTCAGCACAAATTCCAACGACCCAAAACTTGTGCCCCAGACAGTGCACACAAAAGTATTAAGTTTCATTAATTGCCAAAATTATAAAGGCAAACAAAATCGAACAGCAAAAAATGAAGATTGGTGAAAAATTAAAAATTCATACGGCAGCGGTGCGGTCACATAAATTTCGGAGGAGGCAACAAAGACCACAGCTAAGAAAAGGCAGATGCAAAAAATTATAATAAATATATATATACGCTCAGATACACGGATGAATCTGTGGAAGCAGGCAAATGTCGAAGACGTGGGCGTTGAATGGGATCCGTTGGGGTTTTTTCGGATTCAGTTTTTATACTTTTTGGTTAATAATAATGAAACTGGACCGCAGCCACCGCAGCAAGGCGTTGTCAACAGTTGGCGACGATGAAGCCGATGAAGCTGATGATGCTGATGATGCTGATGATGCTGATGATTCCGGTGATGACGAGGCCACGACTTGGCTCCATCTTCATATATTCACTTCTTCATTTGGCACACGGTAGTTGGCCGGGTTGTCACTTAGCTCCAAGACTTTGGTTCTCTTCCAAGGTGTGCGAGTGCTAAGAAACTGGCGGTATCACCTCACTGAGGGAAAAGCTTGTGTGAGTACAAGATATTCTGTAAATTGTAATGGTAGTTGGACAAAGCGATTAAGACTTCCAGGAACTTTATTGTAATAAATCTGTTTGGGAAGAAATGTTGTTTTCTGTGACCATTTTTTCCGAGTGTACCCTCGCCGCACCAAAGTCGTGACTTGATTTATTTTTTTGGCCCAGACTGGTGTGTTTTCACATAAATCTGAATTATGGTCCGCTGGCTCGTAAAGTCGCTGGGTGATGTGTCTATTTTAACAGTTAGTCGGGGGACGGAAACCGAACGGCGATCCACCAACGACGATCTATCAATGAATCCGCAGCTGAATGAAGTGGCCCCAAACCAAACTTGATCGGATCCTCATTTGATATGCAGCTTCGATCTTCAGTTTGTATGCTAATTCTTGTGTCGTTCGGTTTTCGGTTTCAGATCGCGTTCATTGTTCATTTTTGGCTGCGGTGTTTGCCGAGCGGTGTTTTATTTAATTTTAATTTTTATTTCGTAAATTTTAATTTTGTTGTCACTTCTGTGGGAGCAGGCGAGGTTTTTCCACTCGCCCGCAGTCCGATACGGATTGTTTTTTTATTATAATTGGGTGCGGTTCGCAGTGGTTCGGTAGTATTTCTGCAGAACTCCATGAGTCGATCCTATTGTTCAGTTATAAAAAAAAAACAGTCGCACAATCGCACGAGGAGCTTTTTTTTGTGAGGCAGCCGCTATAGAAATTAATAAAATTTATGGTTTATTGGGAATTCTTGTTCGTTTTTTCCGTCATTAATTTGCCATAAAGAAGTAGGCAAAGTGTGTGGCAAAAGCTTTTAAAGTGGGCACACTGGCGGGAATCCATTGTTCAAATGAATGTTTGTTCGTAAAGTTTTAAAGTTTTAAAATCAATTTCGAGCTTGATAGCTTACTTAGGATCTGTGGCTGGAGATGAACTCATTTTGGATTTAATCCCCGAATACATACGCTTTATTTATTGGACTCGGTTCAACGCTCAATGGGTCAGATGATTTCCATAGGGTTAGTTACCATATAAGCACTCCGCCACTTGACCCCAAGCCCATAAAGGCATCCCCACCCTGAAGTGGACCATTGTAACTCGGCTCTCATAACACTTATCGCTGACCAATTGATCGGAAAAGGTGTCAACCCATGTCTCTTTGGTTTTCAAATAGGAATTCCTCACCTCCCTCACCGCTTTGCGCTTAAAAACTTGTAAATTGCGTGATTTTCCTAGGAAGACAATACCGATTCTATACAAACTACCAGCCCACATCTATTCCAGCATTTTCACCTGGATTCTAAGTGATTTACGATCGCTTCAGTTCTTTTTCCTTAGCGCCACACGAACTTCCGTTCCTAAAATGGGGGATATAGATTCATAGTATCTGAAAGGTGTCGCCTGCGTGGGTGTCTCGATTTCAATTCGAAATTAATAGGACAGGCTAGACCTATGCTACACTTAATACTGTTAGGTGCACAGAAAACAAAGTAGTAGTCAAATGCATTGCTGTAATTAAATGTTTAGAAACTAATGGATTAAGTAAATGCCTTATGAAAACTTGAAAATTTAGTATGGCCTGTCGAAGAATCGTAATCTGTAAGACACATTTTTGTTGTAAATATTTTTTTGCCTGTAGCCCAGACCCACAAAAGTGAGTAGACCAAAAAATGTTTTATTACATTGATTTGCATTTAAATCGATGATGTTGGCGGCGGCGTCACTCTTTCCGATTTTGGATACAGGGGGCCCCTTGGGTTTTTGCGGGGGGATAGACCGATGATTACGGGCACAGCGAGCGGTCAAAATGTTGACAATGATCCCAGATATCCCACACGGCGATCGGGTCAAAACCCAACCCAAAAAATCTTGAAAGTTTTCAATGAATTTGTTTCTCTCCATGCCCCTCCACCATTCTACCTTTTGAATGGGAAGCGCCGAAGTTTTCATCCTTCAATCTGAAACTTTTTTCTTTTGTATATTAGATCATAAATTATGGAACCTTGCATATATGACAAAACAAATAATTTTTTTTCTTTTGGCCTGTCGTGCTTCCAGTAGCCACCCCGCTGGGTCTGGAGCCCCCACTTCGCCCCGCTAGTTGGCCAAAATTTATTGGTTCTCCAGCTTTTATTGGGGAATTACAAAAGCAGGGTTTTCGGGAGGACAAAAGGAATCTCTGGGGTAGGTGGCGCCTTGCTTAGGGATTAGAGTCTTAGGATTCGGAGAGGCATCAGAGCACGGAGTGGTGGACCTTTCGGAGAGATCCGATCCCCTCACGATTTATGCTCAGAAATGCTTTTTAGCCCGCGGCACCAAAAACGTAAAATAAAAGAACTCATTTTTCCATTCAAAGACGGGCAACAGGTTTACTTTTCTCGTTGTTTTCTGCTGTACAGTGGAACTTGCTACACTTTCTAACCATTACAATTAATGGGCCAAGTACAATGGGCCGAGTTAGCTTTGTTGTTGGTCTCTGTAGAGTGTAGAGTTTTACTTTATTTACAGTTGCATTTGCCTTGTCGTTCGTTTTAGCCAAGTTCACCTGTGACGTAAACAATGAGAAAATGAAACTCATCCGAGTACTTGCACAACAACAACAGCGATCTCCACAATGAGAGCAAGAGAGGCAGCTGCCTCCCACAAAGCTGCCGAAGCGCAAGAAACGAAGCTCGAGAAAGCCGAAGGCTCCAATCAAGCCCCAACAAGAAGAACAACAACAGCAGCAGCGACAAGAGTGAGAGCTGCAAAGAGAGGCACCCCTTTTGTTGTTGCGGCTGCCAGTCACTCGGTCTCCATCTCCATCTCCATCTCATATTCTCATTCGCTCTTTTCTTTCTGTCTCACTGGAATGGCATCCAGTGGCAGCGAGAGCGAGTGAGGGATAGAGATGAAGGAGCCCCACCGTGGGAAATGAACAGTAGTCGTCTTTGGGCTTTTTGCACCACCAACAACAACGACGGCAATAAGAGCAGTGTGCGCAACACAAACAACAACAACAGCAATGGGTAGCAGCCAGTTTACCGACGTTCCTTCTTCCTCCTTCTCTTTCTCCTCCCACTGCCCCACGCCTCCGCCCCCTTCGCCAACGCTTTTGTTGCTGTTGTTGTCTTGCTTGAGTGAGCTTTTGCAATTTCTCTGCAGCGTTTTGTTGTTGCTTTTGTTGTCGGCGCATTTCAAATAAGCCTAATAATAATGCAATTTATGCCAAGTGGAAGCAGTGCAGACATAGTGAAAGAGACAGAGTGAGAGATAGAGTGAGAGGTGGAGATGGAGAGAAAGGTGCATATCACTAACATTCCTTGAAACTACCAAAAACATTATTTTAACCTTTATACGAAGTTCTAAAAAATTAATTTAAAAAATAGCCTCATAAGTAAAATAATTTCTGTTTTCCTAAATTGTGGACTTCCAGATATTTACTTTCGTATTCCCAGTAGTTCTTCGTGTGGCCTGCTTTCCAGTTGTAGTATTTATGCCGAATTTCCGCGGTTGGAAAATCCCCCAGCTTATTTTCCATCCATTTCGCGTGGCTTGCTCTTGGGGAAAAACCTTTTAGCACCTACGGCAGGCTGCAGCGCAAATCACAACAAGTTGCGGGCAAATCCGAGCACACATTTGGCCAAAACACATGCAACGGCAGGAACTGCGTTTTGGCTTATCAGTTACCGGGCCAAAAAGTGGGCAAACAAGGATCGCGGGATGTGGCTGGGAATATGGGATATGGTATTTCAGATGTGTAAAGTGGGATGCAGGGGACAACACCTCTTTACAGCGTTTCGAGGGTTTTCCAGGTTCAAATTGGTTTGCTTAGGCTCTGCTTGCGGTTGCACTGCAACAAAAATCGCTGGATTTACTATGCATGCCTATGCTAGAAATGTCGCTTTTCGTTCAAAGGCTGACCAGCCAAAACTCGTGATGGCACCTTCATTACTTGGGGCATAGAACTTCTTGCACCGCTTTCTCCCAGTGCACGGCGTTGTAAGAGGTAGTTGTGTGGTAGTTGCGGCGACGTCGGCGGCTTCTTTGGTCAAGTACGTGCGCCACGGACCTCCGTACCGTTATCTCCGATCGATCGGCGAAGGATAAGGATCGCACGCGCTTGTTGTGTGAGTTTGAGTGTGTGCGTGTGTGTGTGTGTGTGTGTGTTTGTGCAAGGAGCAGATAACAAGAAGGTGATAATTGACCGCCCAATTGGCTTGGCAACCAATTACGAGGCTTATCAGCGGCACCGGCAATCGAATCAAACGATCGTCAAAGCGGGCGGGGATCGTCAACGCCGGTGGTCCAAATGCTGGCCAAATGTTCCCCCGCCTGCACTCAGAAAAAATCAGATCACAAACTGAAAGTTGGGAAGCCCATAAGCAACAGTATGCTGCCGGAAAAATAGTTAAAATATTATATTTTCAATTATACAGCAAGAGTGCATCCCAGTAAAACGATCGCTCAAATTCAAACATCTTTAATAAAAATAAGCCTTTCTTATCAGCGTGTTTTTCCCAGTGCAGGAGAGCAACCGCACACCCATTCGCGAGGTGTGAAAAGATCGGGCTGGCTGGTAGGGATATATACAGATATGCACATGTAGTCATGTACCATTTAGCATGCTAAGTAGTGCTTATCAGCGGGGTATACGTTTTATGGGTTGTTTGCCAGGTCGGTGGTTTGGTTCTGCTGCAACTGCCGCACCACAATGTCCTGGTCGTGGGCATGCACCAGCAGAGCCACCTCCAGATTCAGTTGCGCAATGTCCTCCTTCAGCTTGGCGATCGCTTTCCTGATCTGCTGCACCGAACCTGATAAGAAACAAATGGGAGAGGCAATGGGATTGGGATTAGCACCGCATAGCACTGTGGGTGGTTTCCAAAAGGGATCGGGATCTGTGATTTTCTGTTGACCAGAATCGGGGATCTGCGCTGGCAAATAGTCGATGTGCTATCATTGCAGAGCAAATATAACGATTGATATAGATATTTGCTTTCCATGGGAGTGCTAATGCTCTGCTCTTTATAAGCTATACAAATTGCATTGCAAGAATTGCTACCCTGTTATTACGGCTTAATATAAATTCTATAAAATATTATGCATGAGAATATTATATAGAACTTTATACTCACTCCCATCCGACATGGCCTGTCCACGTCGCTCCATTTCCTCCTTCTTGAGGTCCTGCTCCATCATGACCTCGTTGAGCTCCGCGGTCTGCTTCTCCATGTCCTCCTGCAGCTGATTCTGGGCAGACTGGGTGGTGGACAGCTCAATGGATAGCTCCTTGAACTGCTGAATGAGGGGCTTGAGTTCGTTATTCAAATGTTTTTCGCGGCTTTCGATTTTTTCCAAATCGAAAGTGAACTCGCTGTGGAGTTTCTTCAGTTGAGCCTCGGCGGTATCGGAGATTTCCAATATGTTCGTTTTGAAGGTCTCCATCTGACTGATGTGGGTCCTCCAATCGCGGGCGTCAGTTTTGACGAATACTTTCAGTTGGGGCAGCACTCTTTCCAGTTCCAGATGCCACTCCTGATGATCGCTCATGCGGGCATCCAACTCCGGGTTTCGCTCATCCAGGTTGACATCTCCAATGGATTTCTTCTGCGGACGATTCAACCAGTTGAGCTGCCGGAAATTATGCGCCTCCAACTCCATGTCACTATCGTCGCTTAAGGCGGCTGCATTCTGCTCATCCTCCAGTTTCTCCAGTATGATCTCCGCATTGTCCTCCAGATAATCGCCCAGGAACTCCTCCTCCTGGGCGATGTGCAGCTTTTGGTAGCCCACTTGGGCCACCTTGCAGGCTTGCGTGGAGAGTACATCCAGGACCGACAGACAAATGGGTCCCGCTCCGCGTATCAGCTTATTGGGCTGGAAATCCACTGGGACATCCTGCAAAAGGGGGGATAGTATATCGGAAAATAATCTAAAAATGCAGCATAGGATCGATACTCACAATCTCGCCAAGCATTTTAATGATATTGGCGGCCACAGTGTTGGGATCATCGTACTCCTGTGGCCGCTCCATATCCTTTCCGAGTTTCTTGCATAGCCACCAGCATATTAAGGTAAACATATAGAATTGCTCTCCGGGATTTGTGGCCTTCACGAAATAGAAACGCGACAGCGGTTTCAGTTTGAATTCCCTAAGCAAATGCTTTTCGTAGTTGAGTAACTTTAATTTTTCCAGTAAGTCATCGGATTGAAAGTTTTGCAGCTGCTGTGACTTTTCCTGTCCATCATCTTGCTGCATTTTATAGCTCTTATTTTGTGTTTTTTTAATAAAACCGTGTGAAGTGCGATCCAGCTGTTTGGAAAAACAAAATAGTAGCCAAGGTAACGATATGTGGGTAAACACACTTAACGCATGCGTCCTGGCTTGTAGCTTTTTTCTTTATATTTATTATCAGCTTTTAAAGGTTAACTTATTTTATTATCAGCATACTTTTCATTTAATTTTATGCGTTAAATATTTAAATATGCGTTGAATTACCGAAAGAGGGCGGCACGTTCAAGTCGTTAACATGTGCTTCAAACAACTTACTTTGCTGCTGCGCTAATAGCAGCTTGCTGTAGTAAAGTAGCAGAGACAGCAGTAATATTTAAAGTTAAATCAGCAATAGTTAAACAATGTTGTCTTAAATTGGCGAGAAATTTTAGTTCACATTTATTAAAAATGCACCTACCTTCCGGCAGATGGCGCCACCTGTTTATGCAACAGCACGTTAACTTGCGCTCACCAGCACAAGACGCTCTGTTATATGTTATCGATCAACACTGAGAGCAATCAATTGCGATAATTTTCACAGTAACATATCGATATTTCGATTGACGGTTGAAAAATATAAAAAATTGGCGTCCTTTTAAGCAAAACAAATGTACAAAAACTTGAACCTGAACACGCTAAGCGTGGATGACATCGTGGAGGAGTACAAGCTGCTGCACGATCGCCACCAGCATCTCAAAGATCAAAGTGAAAAGGATGCGCAAAAGATTTATGAGCTGAAAAGGAATTTGGACACCGCCCTCGCCGCCGAATCGTATTTGACCCAGGAACTGGAGCAACTGAGTAGCCAGCCGGTGGCCAGCAACTCTGAGGGGAATTCCCAGGAACTGGAGGAACTGCGTCGAAAGTTCAAGACCCTCAAGGAGGAACAGGATGGCCTGCAGCAAGATTACGACGCCAAGGTGGAGGAGACCCAAGCACTGAAGGATAAGCTGGCCGCTGCTGAAAAGGAACTGGCGGATAAGACCGCCTCCAGGTCAAATGATCTCCACGATGACTGTTCGGCCCGTTTGAATGCCCTGGAACTGGAAAACTGCGAGCTGATGCAAAAACTGGCGGAGTACGAGGATTTGCGCGTCGAAAACACCCTGGCGGTGGCTGAAAGAGAGGTAGAAATATCCCTCATAAGTAGCTGACAACTAAATCAATTAAATAATTCCCCGAATTTCCAGAAAACCATAGAATGTCTGAAAGATCGGGTGAGCTGCATGGAACAGAATCTGAACTGCAAGCGGGATGAACTGGAGGAGAAGCTGCAATTGCTGGAGAGCTGCCAGGAGCAGCTGGTGGATGCGAATGCCAAGATAGCACTGCTCAATTCCGCCCCTGAAAACAATGGTAGTTTAGGAAAACATGGCACCTTAGAACTAGGTCTTAAACTGTTTATTGTACTATTTTTAAAGATCGCAAGGGCAACTCTCTGTTCGCCGAGGTGGACGACCAAAGGCAAGCGATGAAGCAGATCCTGGCGGCCCAGAAAAAGAGCTATCTGGAAATGAAGAAGACCTTCACGGACAACCAGTTTGAGATCAGACGTCTCAAGCGGGAAAACGTGGCCATGCACACGGAGCTGCAGGCCTGCAGCACAATCTTTTGCAGTGCGGACAAGACTTATCAAAGTGAGTAATCCATATCCACTAGTCTGTTGTAAACACTATTAATATTACCCATTTTCTACAGATAAACTGAATGAGCGCATCCGGCAGCTGATGGCTGCCAACGACAGCCTGGAACAACAGCTAAATATCTCCCAGGAGCGGCTGCGCCAGATGGCCAGCGAGAAGTCGGTCACCTGGCTGGACTCGATGCTGGATTTCTGCAAGTATGAGTTGCCCCTCTTGGTCGACACCGCGCTGGCATCGCTTGGCAATAAGTTGCTAAGCCTCACCAGCTACGGCCTGTTCTTGCTGACCAGTTAGGTAGCCTCCACACCCCTAATACCTAATCCTCATCCCCATTTAGACGCGAAACGGACGAGCTGAAGGCGCAGCTGCACAGCATGCGCATCCAAAAGGCCGGACTGGAGGAGCGAATGCGATCCGTCCAGCAGGAAATGGCACGGTATATGCACTCTGTCCTTACTTTCTTTTCGAAAACTAATTTATTTATATTTTTAGCTGGCGCTTTGAGTCCCTCAAATCCCGCTGTGTGCTCATTGACCGCGAAAATCTGCTGACGGAACATAAGATCAGTTTCAAGCCCATGCAGGCCATGGAGTTCAACATCAAGGAGGCGGAACTCAAATCTGCGTTGCCTCGCATTGTCAGTGTAGCCGCACAATCTCCCTTATCATCAGCTCTCTTCCATTCTCCAAAAACATCTTTTAAATCGGCTACAGAAACCACAACCAAGTCTCTTCCAACTGCAGCTGAAATTATTGTTCTTGATACGCCCTTAAAAGACGTCAAACAGGAATTGGTGGAGCCTCTTAGTCATGAATTAAAGCCAGCACTAAAAGACACATCCGTAAAAGTCGAACAGGAACTAGAAGAATCCGCAAGCAATACTGAAAGACCTATTAGGACAATTATGGGTGTTAAAATAAAGCGGGATATCGATTTAAACTTGGAACAGAAAGACGCGGTTGATGTCAAAGAGGAGTTGGAAGCTCCAGAACTAATTCCCAAACCGCAGGCGAAAGGCACTCCAGTCAAAGACAAAAATGATAAAGTAGCACTTCAAATGAACATCCACCAAGATGATAAAGAAGAAACGGATCTGAGTATCAAGGAAACCCCAGTCAAACCTTTGATGAAGGGTACCCCAGTTAAGCAACGACTAGGAGGCATAAAAGTGAAGTCCAACGAAGAATTGCTGGGTGCAAGACTGCCTGGCATACTAACGCCTGCTAAGCCGCAGCGCAAGGGCACTCCAGTGAAGCTCATAAAGTTGGAAATGGAAACTGAAGACAGTGGCGAAGAGGCGTCCAAGGAATCTCCCATCAAGCCAGATGGCACTTTGATCGTTGAAATGCTGGACAGTCCCTCGCCACAAAAGCCTCAGCGCAAAGGAACTCCTGTGAGAATTCCCGTCAGCAAAAACTCGAACGAAAACTTGCGTTCCATCCTCAGCAAAAAACGGCAAGTCTTCGCCGAAGATGCGCAAAAGGCGGTGAAGTTTAGCGCAGACGATCCCATTGTCCACAATTTAAGTCCGCTTGAGAGAGGTCGAACTGGGGAAACCACCAAGGAAAATGACAAGCCAAAAGAGATTGTAGATAACCAGGACGCAAAACCCACAATTATGAAACCAAACATCATTCGGCGTATTGTCGTGAGCTCCCGTAAACCAACTATGAAATGATTGCATGATTCCGAAAGGAAATTTAAAATCGAACTTAGACTTAGAAAAACATAACAATTAATTACAACGCAGGGCACAGCAAATCATTTTTACTTTCGTTAATCCTAAAAGCATTACTATTATTACACTACGAACTAAAAACTTAGCAATAAAAACAAAAGAACAGATTATTAATACAGTCGCGCTTCTTATATAAACTACATTGTGTGCAATCCGCATGCAACTTTACAAGAAGTGTCATACGGAGTTCCGAGTTCCTTATGACACTTACTACTTAAGTACGATCCTTCTTGTTGACCCACGAATGCCAATGTGTTCTCTATTGAAGTATTTAAGGACAACTGCAAGTAAATGTAGGAATTATATAGGAAACAACTATACCAATGATGGATTCTACCTAGGAAGCATCTCTCAGTTCGTCCAGTTTCGGCACCTCCTCCACAAACGACAGATGATCGTAGATGGGGCCCGTAGGGCAGGGAGTCGCGGTAGGCACCTCATCCGCATCCACGTTCTCATCCGCCTGCTCCTTGATCTCTGCGTAAAGTTGATAGGGCAGCTCAGCTGGTAGGGACTCGTAGGTGACATGATGGGTCCTCGAGCAGGTGGATTCTCTGTGACCCGTGCAATTGCAAATCGAGGTACCTCCACTCACGGGAGTCTCGTATCCATCCGGCAATTCGGTTTCCAAGTCCACTGGGGTACAGGAACCGCCATTAGCAATGGGATAGCGCACTATATCCACGTGGTCCACAAATCTGGGCCCGCCGGATGATTTTTCGCCACCAAAACAGGGCAATCCCGACGCGTAATAGGACAAGTGGAAGAGTCTCTCGCAATGCAGGTATAGATATAGCAACAGGAAGAGGAACGCGATACCCAGAGGCAACATAAACACGATTATCAGCGCTAAGGATCGCTGACTTCGGTGCAGTTCTACGGGGTTACCGTACAGGACAGTAAAACTGGAAACATTTCCGTGCGGATGTGGCACGGGAATCGAGGAATCTGTACCATTGGTCCTCACGTGCATGATTCTACGCACCTTGGGCGGTTCTTCCGTAGGCGGTTCCTGAGGTAAACAGCTTAGGCCATTTATATTGATGTGGGATATATACTTGGAGTACTGGAACAGGCGGAAGAGTTGAGGTTGCATGTGCGAGAAATTCAGCATCCACTGGCAGCTCCAAGGATTGCCATCGATGGAAATTCGAAGCTGTGGGTTCCAGTACGGTAAGTCAGCCTTTTCTGTTTCCCGGAAGCTCATCAATTCGTTGGATCTCAGGTCTATGTGGTGAATGCTTGCTGGGGAAATCAAGCCCAATTGGAAGAGGGACAATGAATGGAAGTGGTTTTGCTGCAGGTGGAGACTACGAAGACTGGTGGTCCTATAAAACCAGGTGAAGTTCAAGTGCTCCAACTTATTTCGGCTCAAATCCAAGGTCAACAGGGTGCTTGGCCCATCATAAAAGCTAATGTTCAACGAGGATATGGCATTGCCACTTAGATTTAGATAAATAATGTCCAAATTGTGTGCTGGTTGCAAAGCAAATTCTTTCAGCTGGCAATTCGTAATGGACACGTTAACCAGCTTCGCTATGCCTTCAGTCAAGTGCAGAACTCCTGGTTGGATGGGCGTATCCTCGATTATCAGATCAGTTAAATTTTCTGGTAAGAATATTAAAAATGCGTCCTTAATCTTTTCTATATTTCGCAAGCTAAGCTTTTTCAGCTCCTGCAGCTGCATTAGAATTCCACTATCCTGCAGCACCAAATCCTGTTCGTCCTGTATTATAAGTTCTTCCATGTCAGCACTGCCAAAGTACTCTAGGTACCTCAATGAGTTGTGCTGCAAGTGGAGCGTCTTAAGATGCGGCAAGTCCTGGAAAGTATCTCCACTCAATGTGCCCAATTCGTTGTATCTGAAAGATACTGCAGTGAGGTTGGGGATCAGCGCTCCTGCGCAGCTAAGCTTCAGGGTGGCATCGCCCACAAAGCGCTGGATCTCGAGACTTTCCAGATCCACACAATTGTCCAGGTACTCCAAGCCATAACTAAATATACCCAAGGGAGGTGTTCGATAACCATCCAGCGAAACATGCCTCTTTCCGGCCACTCTTTGGGCGCCCAAATCGAAGTAATTCAACTCCCTGGTACTGTTTTCACTGCAATCTATTGCCAAAGGCAGCCCAAAATCGTTTTGACTCCTTTCCGTTGCAGATGTCATATAGACCGTTGCCCGAATGACGCAAGCCGTTGGCAACGATATTGATTCGTTGGCGGAAGACATCGCATCGCCAGCTGCCCGCACGTGTGACAAAATCAGCGATACGACAACGAGGAAGACGCACTGCGTCATCGTCTCCGAAAAATGCGAGCTGCCCATCGGAGCGTGTCACCGAGAATCCGCTAAACTAAGCTCATCCGTGTCCGTCCGACCCGTGTGCGAAATTCAAACTGAGCGACCCTCACATTGGAAAATTCAAACTGAAAAGGCGAAACACCTTTGGCTTCATTTCAATATAATGCTCCCCGCTGGCCATCTCCGAACACTTGCTACCCTCTGCTCCTAACTGGCGAGGTATGCTGAGTTCTTCCAGCTTTTGCCAGAACTTGATTAGGAAAAAGGCTGTTTTCAGAAATAGATTTAATAGAATTGCTAAATATATTTTGTTCCTAGGATTTGCTCAACTTATATGTAGAATATAGGGTATATATTTTTGTATAAATTATTTTAATAGATATAGCAGGTACGATTTATTCGCTAACTGGACCTGAGCAATTCAACTTGTTTTAATATTAAAAATTATTTCTGAGAGAATCTTTTGTTTATATTTAGACCGTTCTCTTCTCTCGGTTTCTCCGCAGAAGAATGCTTCCTATTCTCTGCGCAGTGCACATTTCTTTCTTTATTTCAGCTTTCATCACCCCCACTTTCCTGCCTCTCAATTCCACAGACGCCCCCAAAAACCAGCCGATTTCAAACACTTTTCGCACAAAATCACACTCCAAAGTGGTTGGGGCAAATGTGTACATATGTATCCTTATATACAATACCCGATCGATGGGAAAATTATCGGCAAGTGAGTTTCTTGGAAACGTATTGTTTACATTGATATTTTAATTGGCAATTGTTGGCTGCGTACTTCGGCTTGGAATGAGATCACAAAATTCCAAATTAGCCGCAAATGTTGTATAAAATAAGAGGAAAAGTCACCAACGGTGTAAGCACCATAGTTATGGAAAAGCAAGGTATTACAATTTTTGTAATACCTTCAACGAAAGTAAAAGGACTGGTTTTAATCAGTTTTCCCACAATATTTATCTGATTATATAGAACTTTTGGCAGCTCAAAACCCTGTAAAGCTGCGTTACTCACGTTCTTATTGTTCATAACTTGCCTTCATAATGTCATTAAACAAGATAAAAACAAGATATAATGCTATAGTCGAGTTTCCCGACTACAAGATACCCGTTACTCAGCTAGTGGAAGAACTTCAGCTTTGAGACATTTTTTAATTTTTTTGAATTTCTACAACATCATCCCATCAGAAAAATGACAAAAAAATGTTGAAAAAATAAATTTCCAAATTTGAATGCAGATTTTTAGAGAATTGCTCCAGAAACATTTAGAGGTATGCCACTTCAAATTCCGATTAAGATAAGTTGAGTTATGGACTTTTGAAGTCTTGGGTCATTTTTGAATTTCTTTAACATCACACACCAGAAAAATGACAAAAAAATGTTGAAAAAATAAATTTCCAAATTTGAATGCAGATTTTTAGAGAATTGCTCCAGAAACATTTAGAGGTATGCCACTTCGCATTCCGATTAAGATAAGTTGAGTTATGGACTTTTGAACTTCAGTCTTGGGTCATTTTTGAATTTCTATAACATCACACACCAGAAAAATGACAAAAAAATGTTGAAAAAATAAATTTCCAAATTTGAATGCAGATTTTTAGAGAATTGCTCCAGAAACATTTAGAGGTATGCCACTTCAAATTCCGATTAAGATAAGTTGAGTTATGGACTTTTGAACTTCAGTCTTGGGTCATTTTTGAATTTCTATAACATCACACACCAGAAAAATGACAAAAAAATGTTGAAAAAATAAATTTCCAAATTTGAATGCAGATTTTTAGAGAATTGCTCCAGAAACATTTAGAGGTATGCCACTTCGCATTCCGATTAAGATAAGTTGAGTTATGGACTTTTGAACTTCAGTCTTGGGACATTTTTGAATTTCTACAACATCATTCCATCAAAAAAATTACAAAAAAATTTTGAAAAAATAAATTTTCAAATTTGAATGCAGATTTTTAGAGAATTGATCCAGAAACATTTTGAGGTATGCCACATCAAAATCCGATTAAGATAAGTTGAGTTATGGACTTTTGAACTTCAGTCTTGGGTCATTTTTGAATTTCTATAACATCACACACCAGAAAAATGACAAAAAAATGTTGAAAAAATAAATTTCCAAATTTGAATGCAGATTTTTAGAGAATTGCTCCAGAAACATTTAGAGGTATGCCACTTCGCATTCCGATTAAGATAAGTTGAGTTATGGACTTTTGAACTTCAGTCTTGGGTCATTTTTGAATTTCTATAACATCACACACCAGAAAAATGACAAAAAAATGTTGAAAAAATAAATTTCCAAATTTGAATGCAGATTTTTAGAGAATTGCTCCAGAAACATTTAGAGGTATGCCACTTCGCATTCCGATTAAGATAAGTTGAGTTATGGACTTTTGAACTTCAGTCTTGGGTCATTTTTGAATTTCTATAACATCACACACCAGAAAAATGACAAAAAAATGTTGAAAAAATAAATTTCCAAATTTGAATGCAGATTTTTAGAGAATTGCTCCAGAAACATTTAGAGGTATGCCACTTCAAAATCCGATTAAGATAAGTTGAGTTATGGACTTTTGAACTTCAGTCTTGGGTCATTTTTGAATTTCTATAACATCACACACCAGAAAAATGACAAAAAAATGTTGAAAAAATAAATTTCCAAATTTGAATGCAGATTTTTAGAGAATTGCTCCAGAAACATTTAGAGGTATGCCACTTCAAATTCCGATTAAGATAAGTTGAGTTATGGACTTTTGAACTTCAGTCTTGGGTCATTTTTGAATTTCTATAACATCACACACCAGAAAAATGACAAAAAAATGTTGAAAAAATAAATTTCCAAATTTGAATGCAGATTTTTAGAGAATTGCTCCAGAAACATTTAGAGGTATGCCACTTCGCATTCCGATTAAGATAAGTTGAGTTATGGAATTTTGAACTTCAGTCTTGGGTCATTTTTGAATTTCTATAACATCACACACCAGAAAAATGACAAAAAAATGTTGAAAAAATAAATTTCCAAATTTGAATGCAGATTTTTAGAGAATTGCTCCAGAAACATTTAGAGGTATGCCACTTCAAATTCCGATTAAGATAAGTTGAGTTATGGACTTTTGAACTTCAGTCTTGGGTCATTTTTGAATTTCTATAACATCACACACCAGAAAAATGACAAAAAATTGTTGAAAAAATAAATTTCCAAATTTGAATGCAGATTTTTAGAGAATTGCTCCAGAAACATTTAGAGGTATGCCACTTCGCATTCCGATTAAGATAAGTTGAGTTATGGACTTTTGAACTTCAGTCTTGGGTCATTTTTGAATTTCTATAACATCACACACCAGAAAAATGACAAAAAAATGTTGAAAAAATAAATTTCCAAATTTGAATGCAGATTTTTAGAGAATTGCTCCAGAAACATTTAGAGGTATGCCACTTCGCATTCCGATTAAGATAAGTTGAGTTATGGACTTTTGAACTTCAGTCTTGGGTCATTTTTGAATTTCTATAACATCACACACCAGAAAAATGACAAAAAAATGTTGAAAAAATAAATTTCCAAATTTGAATGCAGATTTTTAGAGAATTGCTCCAGAAACATTTAGAGGTATGCCACTTCAAATTCCGATTAAGATAAGTTGAGTTATGGACTTTTGAACTTCAGTCTTGGGTCATTTTTGAATTTCTATAACATCACACACCAGAAAAATGACAAAAAAATGTTGAAAAAATAAATTTCCAAATTTGAATGCAGATTTTTAGAGAATTGCTCCAGAAACATTTAGAGGTATGCCACATCAAAATCCGATTAAGATAAGTTGAGTTATGGACTTTAGAATTTCAGTCTTGGGACATTTTTGAATTTCTACAACTGATGTTTTCCCATCAGAAAAAATTACAAAAAAATTTTGAAAAAATAAATTTTCAAATTTGAATGTAGATTTTTAGAGAATTGCTCCAGAAACATTTAGAGGTATGCCACTTCAAATTCCGATTAAGATAAGTTGAGTTATGGACTTTAGAACTTTAGTCTTGTGACATTTTAAAATTTCTACAACATCTTCCCACCAGAAAAATGACAAAAAAATGTTGAAAAAATAAATTTTCAAATTTGAATGTAGATTTTTAGAGAATTGCTCCAGAAACATTTAGAGGTATGCCACATCAAAATCCGATTAAGATAAGTTGAGTTATAGACTTTAGAATGTTCAAAAAAAAAAATGTTCAACATGACAGACGACCGGACATACGGGCATGGCCAGATCGACTTAGCTATTGATCCTGATCAATAATATATATACTTTATATGGGCGGAAAGGTTTCTTCTGCCTGTTACATATTTTTCAACGAATCTAGTTTACCCTTTTACTCTACGAGTAACGGGTATAATAATAAAAGTTAAAGATGGTATTCGCGGTGATAAGGAACATATGAACTCATCTTGTGTACACTCACCATGTGTGTACGATTAATTCCATTTAGTAGTAATGGAGTAGAACTCATCTTAACGCAGTCGTTGTTTTCCTTTGGAGCTTCTGAAATCACGGATGCTAATGTAGCATAATTTTGGTGGAGTAATTCTTATACTTCAACTCAATACGCGTATAGAATAATAATTCTTGGAGCCATGAAATTGTTCTGGGCACTCCTGCTCATATCGGGTGTGCACCGAATAAATGCTATATGTCGAGAATCCATCCACCTGGAACACGGATCGGTAGAAAAATTAAATGGATCTATACTTTTTCTTTGCGATCAAGGATATTCTTTACAAGGATCGAAGGTGTTCACCTGCGATCGCGGTATTCCGCGAGGGAAAAAACCATTTTGTGCTAGTAGGTGTATATAACAAAAATAAACAATTTTACTATAAATTGCTAGATGTTCATAAAAGTAAGTAAAAGTTAGTTTACGTAATACGTACTTTCAGAGAGCGGTTGCCAGGAATACAAACAAATTGAGAACGGCTTTGTTTTAAATTCCCCTATGAAAGCTAAAATCACCTGTTCGGATGGCTATGGGGTCGTTGGAAATCGCATTGCCTACTGCAATGGCGAAAGGTGGAGAACCCAGTTGGGATCGTGTGTGCTGAGAAGCCCGACATGGAATGACTCCTGTGATTTTGAGAGCGAGGATATGTGCGGTTGGACAGCGGAGCTGAGCTTCTGGGGAACCTGGAGACGGGTCAGTGCGTTGGCCAACTTCCACTCAGAAAAAACGGGTCCCCAACAGGATCACACATTCCAAAACCACTCCGACGGACACTACGTCCGTATGGAGACGGAAAGCGATGCCTTTGGGCGCTACCACTTCCTATCGCCACCATATCCCAAGGAGCTCAGTTTGAGTCCCGCCTGCTTTCAGTTCCACTACTTCATGTTCGGCAGTGGAGTCGGTAGCCTGTTGGTGTCCATCAAACCCGCTTCGGTGACCATAGGAAACATGTTTAGCACGAACAAGTGAGTTGTTCACCAATTATGACAGGCAATTGCTCATCATACAGTTCTTATCTATTTTAAAACACTAGTTTATAGTTTGCCTTATGAAACAGCATGATTTCCTTGCCCCTACAGCTCCATTAAATTCGAGATGACTGGATCGCAGGGCGCCAGGTGGCTGGAACACACGATTGCCATCAATGCGATGGATGAGGACTTCCAAGTGGTCTTCACCGCCACGGATGCGAGGTCCCAATACGGAGACATTGCCATCGACGACGTGAAGCTCATGACGGGCAAGGAATGTGAGGTGAGTGCGCAGACCCCCGCCACAGATCCACCAGAGGAACCAGCAAGAGAATCGGATATCAGGGAAGAGCCACTGGACTACCAAATGGCGGACTGCAGTGGTCGTTGTGGTCAAGTCCTTGTCTCAGGAAGGTACATCAATGAAGGCTGTGGATGCCAAGAATCGTGTCTTGCGAGCGGCGATTGTTGCCTAAATTATGTCATGAAGTGCCATACAGATCTGTTCTTATCTCCGTATAATGAAACCGCCTTCTGGAGGCTTTGGAAGCTTTGGAGCAGACATAGTATTGTGCCTGTCGCACCTAAGTAAATTATTATATGGCAAGTGCCCCAAAGCATTTAACCCAATCATTAAAATTACGTTTAAAAATGGTGACGAGTTTACATAATCATTGGAGTGAAATAATTGGGGCCTGGTTAGGGGCTGATGATGTCCAGGCAACTTGATGGCATAGTCCAAGTGCTGGGAGCAGTACCTTCAAGTTGCCTGGACAGCTGATGAGCCCAATCTACAGTCCCGATCGCTACTTAGATCGTGGCCTTCAGCGTTCGGGGAGCACCAAATCGCCCGTTGCTGGATCCCTGGGACAGCGGATTGATCCTGATCAGACTGGGTCGATGGGAACCACCAGATGTCAAGTGTGAAATGCCAGCGGACCCACTGCCACTGCAACCGATGCCCGGAGCACCCTGATTCGTCATGGAGTAGATGTGCCGGCGAAGAACCCTAATGTGCTTCTGTGAGACCTCGAAGTTGTGGACCAGGGTGTGGAGCTGCGTCTGGAGCTCAGCTATAAGACTGTCCCGTTCCTGGATCAAGCTGGACGTGGAGTTTTGGCTCCTACTCAGCTTCAGTTCGAGGTCGTAGATCTTCTTCTGCAGATCCCTGCGCTGCTTTTCGCTCTGCTCGCGATGGCGGGATAGTTGTCTCTTACTGCTCGCCTGGAGCTGCTCCAGCTGATCCTTCATGGTGGACAGCTCCTGCGTGAGTTTCCGCTTCTCCGTCTTCAAGGCCGAGTTGTAGTTCTTGAAGATCTTCAAATCCCTCTCGGCTGCCTTCAGCCTGTTGATGGTGACCAGCTTTCTGCGGCCCAGTTCATCTATCTTGACCTTCAGCTGCATGGCTTCCTGTTGGAGGGCATGAAGCTTATCCGCCAGCAGACAATTTTCCCGCATTACCGTCTCGTACTTGGAGTGCTCGTCCCGCATCAGCTTCGGCAAATGGGAGACACTCCTCAGCTTGGTGTCTATCTTGGATCGCAGACTGTCTATGTCGTGGTAAATGCTCGACTCCAACTGCTTGTTATTCACGTGCAGCTTCTCGATCTCCTGCTTCTGGGTGCTCATGATGTCCTGGGCCTTCACACACCGTGTGTGGTAGTCGGCGATCCTCTCCTGCTGCTGCCGAATGAGCGTCCGAAACTGGACTTGCTCGCTCTTCAGGCCCTTGATGGTGGTCAGGAGCTGACTTAGGTCTCCAGAGTCCCTGTTCCTGTCTCTGTCCCTGCCGCGATCTCGTTCGTGCTTGTACTTGTGGTCCTGATTAAGGAAGAGGGCATTGCAAAGCGGTAACTATTACTGGTTTCGGGAATACTGATTAGGAATCCTACCTGTGAGGTGTTGATCACATCCTTCAGCACACTGTAGACGTCCTTGAAGGATGCGGGCTCCCTCTCACGATCGTCCTGCTCCAAGGATCTTTTAGTGCGCTTCACGTGACGGTTCGCCAGTGTTTCCACTATACGACTGTCAAAAACGCTGTTCACCTGCGATGGAAGATCGTCCTTGTGTTGATGGTGCTTCGGCTGATGAGTTGTCCTTGCGGATGCGTATTTCTTCGCATTGATTTCGTCACAGGAACTATGGACAGATAGCACGGTCATGAAACTGGTATTGCTGCGCAGGATTTGGGGGCTCCTTCGTCGGATGGTCGTTTGCGAGGTGACACTACTGGCCGAGCTATAGAAACCATCTGGATCGGCCTCACTTCCCAAATCCATTTGCGAGGCTTGCTTCCTGCTGGACACGAACTGCTTGTGCTTCTGCTGCATCTCGCACAGCTCATAGTTGATTTTCATGTACTTCTCCTCCAGATCCTTGGTGCTTTCGTTGTAGTCCTTGAGCTCCTGCTTGTACTTGCAGAGCTCCTCCTTCAGCTTGCTGCCAATGGCTTCCGAGCTCGGCAGCCTCCGCTTCGCGGCCTGACCCTTTCTGTAATCTTCCGGCTCTCCATCACTCATGATTAAATTGACCTCCTTACCTTCCCTGCTGCTCCTGGGTAATTTCGCTATGCTGGGACTACAGTGCTCCCCGAAGCCCAAGCTGCTGGCACTTCTCGTATCCTGTACTTTGTCTGCACTTTTCTGTCTGGAGATGCTGACATAGCTACTCTTTTCCTCTGCCCGATCTTCGTTCTTCTCATCCAACGCGAAATCCAGTCCCATCGAGGTTTTACTAGATGATGTTCCTCGGCGATTTTGTGGACGGAATCCAAGTGATCGTTGTCTTGGGGCTAATGGTCGCCTGGATGGCTTTAACATCTACGAAAATTTAGCCTATTTGGTTAAAGTTTCACTTGTGTAATTTTTTGCACTGTTTTTGGCGAACAGAGAATTTTTTTAAAAGCCTTATGACACATTCAATTCCCAAAAATATGAATTTTACGTAGAACGTGACGAAAATAATTTGATAGAAAATTGGTTCTTACGCCTACTCATATACTCACATTTTCCTTCTGGAAATTATCGCTGTTCCCTCCAATTTTATTTTTAACGTGCCTAATGTTTAAATAATACATTGCCAACGAACGTCACAGTTTATATATTTAAAATATTCCTATGGATTACTTTTTATCTTTCCCATTTCAATACTTGTAAATTAGTTATGTTTTTTAACATATTTTGTTTTATTAATTATTATTCATCAATTATTAAGAATTATTTTTTAAGATATACCATTTCCTTTAAGCTGCACTGTGTTTTGATTTTGAACCAATTCAAGTAGCGGCAGTAGTAAATATAATTATTTGTTTCGCCAAATAAATGCCTCGCTACACATTCCTCCCTAAGGACACTCCCTTGCCCATCCTGGGAGCGAGGACTCCGCCACTCAAAGTCGATGAAGCAGCTCCTGGTGCCCAATCCAGTGCTCCGGGATCCTTCGTTCGCCTCTCCCAAGTCGGAGCAGGCCATTTCAAATCTGTTGCCAACTGTCCAGGCCGAGTGTCCGCTGAACTTTCAGTTCATTTTATTCGATCACGAAGAAAACAACGGATCGTCCCAAAACTTTCGAAATTTTTCAGAGTATGTGTTAACGTTTTCACAGAACATAAGTAGCCTAAAATCGTTAGTATTTCTAGCCAAATATAAAAATAAAAAAAAATTTTATTCACACAATTTTTGGCCAAATCGGTTAGTGAACATAAATCGCGATGGCAGAGAATACGGAGTACACCGATGAGGGCGGCGAGTTCGAGGACGATGAGAACCTGTACATTGGGGAGCAGCACATGATGGAGGAGGGGCCCGATGAGGACCTCTTCTCCAAGCTGGGCGAGTCCTCCGACGATCCCGAGCAGAAGCGCATGTACATGGAGTACCTGGCGCTGATCAAGGAGATCGACTGCCAGAACAAGATCATCCAGGACATCAAGGGCAACATCATGGACATGTGCGCCAAGCCCTGCAAGACCCGCAACGAACTGAGGGAGATCAAGCGCTTGAGAATCTGCATGGAGCAGGAGAACATCAAGCTGCACACCATGATGAACAGGGCGGTGCAGCTGCAGAACTTCGGCTCCCATCGGCACTACAAGGAGCTGCCCATGACCACCACCGTGGACGAGGACAACTTGTCCCCGTATATGTGTGGCATAGGACCTTGTGCTCCAGCTGGCAGCGCCACGGATCCCTGCAGCGATGAGCCCAGCTCGTGTGCCAGTGTTTGTGGTGGCGGCGGTGGAGGCGGCGGAGGCCAACGCGATATGGCCGGTCAGGACGACAAGCTGATCTGCGCCCTGCAAAAGGCCATGCAGAAGATGAAGGGTGCCTGTCCGGAGGACAAGAAGATGATCGAGGAGATCGCCTGCGCCATCATGAGCTGCAATAAGCAGCCGGTCTGTGTGCCGGGTCCCTGCCCAAAGCCCTGTCCGCCACCACCCTGTCCAGGTACTTGCCAAGGTCCTTGCCCGGAAAGCAGCAGCAGCAGCATTGCCCCATGTCCTCCACCCTGCCCGTCTAAGCGGAAGGCTCAAAAGGCTCCCTGTCCCCAGCCACAGCCACCTGGCAAGTGCGAGTCCTTGGAGAAACTGAAGCGGCGCATCCAATCCATGCAGACCTCGGTGAAGAAGTTGCTCCAGGAGGTAACCAACCGGGATGCGTCCGAGCCCTGTGACGTCGACGACGATGACGATGAAGGAGAGGAGGACCCCTGCTCCCGGCCATGTCCTCCCAGGCCACCGTGTCCCGAGGATCCTGATCCACTGGTCATCTGCGGCGGAAAGCGGAACACCAAGGCCGACAAGTACGAGAAGATGAAGGAGAACTACACCAGGCTGCTAACCGAATTTCAGCGCAAGGACTGCCAGATGAAGGAGATGCAGAAGCGGATGAAAGGTATTTGTGGTCCCTGTCCATCAAAGGGGGGCGACGGGGATGCCGATGCCGCCGAGCTGAATCTACTTCGATCCCGGGTCAACGAGCTCAAGGAGGAGCAGCTGGAGTTCAAATGCATCATGAAGGAGCAGTCGCAGCAGTTGGAGGATTACCGCAACAAGTACCTGCTGGCCCAGCAGAAGGTCGAGGAGCAGTGCGTCTCCCTGGAGAAGCTGAACATGAACAACAAACGCATCGAACAGCAGATCAACACGGAGGTGAAGGAGATTCGAGCCAAGTTTCAAGAGAAGCTGAACGAGCTGCTGCACTTCCCCAAGCTCCTAGAGAATGAGCAGCTGAAGCTGGCCCAGGTTTGCAAGGAGAAGGACGAGATGCAGACGAAACTGGTGGTGGTCTGCAAGGAGCTGAAGGCCTGCAAGACGCAGATGGAGCAGCAGCCCAACGTCGATGTGCGGCCTCAGCTGGCCCAGTGCCAAATGGAACTGACCCAGGCCAGGAATGAACTGGAGGAGCTCCTGCGACAGCGGGATCTCTTCTGCGAACAGCTCAAGTCCACCCAAGACGATCTGGATACACTGCGAACGGAGTCCGCCAAGATTATAGCCGGCACCAAGGAACGAGCCGAGTTGATCAAGTCCCAGCAGCAGGAGCAGATCAATCGGCTGGAGAAGGAGTTGGCTCAGTGCCGAGCAACTGCCTCGCTGTCGGTCAACGATCGGGAGGCTGTCATCCGCGAGATGCAGGGCCAACTGAACACACTCTCCTACAGCTTCGATGCCGCCCAGAAGCAGATCAAAACGCTGCGCAATCACATCGCATATGTGTCCAACGAAAACTGCTTCCCCGTCAAGTGCTAAATGGGAAAAGATCGGGAACCACTTCGAATTCACAAAGCATTTTAAGCATAAGCCGTATCTGTGATAAGAAATGTAGCATGCGTTCGAAAACCATTCACAAAGCTTGTCATTCAAATCTATTTGTAACTCAAATTTTAAATATTCCAATTGAAATATAAGTAATCTTTCGGCAAATACTGAATATTTTTGTAACTGAGGGGCGCTTCTTACGATATTTACCCTAATCAACAATAGCTTACACTTATCTTGTTCAGCTGCTTATCTGCATTTCAACAGCCTAGTGCTTTTTATGATCTAGATTAAGTAAGATCTAGCACAACTGAGGTTTTTGTTTTGGCGCTCCATAGGAAACAAATAGATATTGCTTTATTCTGGCATTTGAGAGGAACATCTACAAATGGTCGGTTTGTGTACGTTAATGAGGTGCGCTCCTTGCGGCAAATGGCACATTTGAAACAAATCTACAGGGATTTGACGGCCAGTCTCTTCATCTTGGGCGCATTCCTCTTGGCCTGGCGCTTCTGCTCCTTGGCCTCCCAACGGCGCTGCTTCTCTGGATCCTCGTCAGCCAGAATGCGCTCCTTCTCCTGCTTACGCTTATCCTCGCGTCTCTGAGCGGCAGCCTCGGCGCGGGCGGCATGGGTGCTCTTCAAGAACTCCTCCTCCACGCGCTGGCGGTTCTTGTCCGACTTGGCTTTGCCCTGGAATTTGCACAAGTTAATAATAATTCGAAACTAAATAAAATATGCGTATAATTACCTCCTTGGACATGCGATAGGTCTTTAGACGCTCCATCAAATAAAAGATCAACAATAACAACGGCTTAATGGTCTCCATTTCGGCGTGCTTCGGCAAATTGAAGCCGGCGAGGAGCACGGCCTTGGTTTCGGGCTGCTTAAGGGTGCCACCCTCTTCCTGCTGGATGGGCCCACTGAACTGGTCCGAGATGTGCAGGTAATCGATATAGCTTTGGTACTTGTTTAGTGCAGTGATAATACGTGACTCGAGTATGGCGGACGTGGCCTCCGGGATTTCGGAGAGCACGCCAAAGCCGGTGGGCACATTGTAGCGATCCTCCGGCTTGCCGACTAGACTACAGAACTTGCTCTGTTCGCAAAGAGGCGTATTGTTAAATTAGGGCATGGTAACTCGAATTAAAACCTCTTACCAGATCCGTATACTCTTTGAAGACCTTGGTAATGGTCTTTTTGCTACCAACTGCAAATACGAATGCATCCATTACACCGCGTGTCAGTTCAATTTTGATGTGGGCCTGGTCTAGCTGTGGACGCATTAGTCCCGCCACCAAGGATACCAGATCCTGTCGCTTGATCATCTTCAGCTCGACGAGCATGCCCTCGCAGCAGGTTCTACCGGAGCACCAGAGAGTATAAAGGCTCTCACTCTCCTTGATCAGTCCCGGATTCTCGTTCTCCGCCTTGCCATCGTCTCCGACCAGGGCGAAGTTCTCATCCAGCAGGGCTCTGTGGGTACTAAACCAAAGCTGCGCTAAACGCGCGTTCTTGGCCTTTCCCGCAAAGAAGTTGGCGAAGTAGGCCAACAGCCCAGCCACCATGAGCATCTCCATCCAGTAGGAGTCCCAGTGGGTGCGGAAGTGCATTGGGATGTTTGGTATGTTCAGTTTGGGCTCAACTTTTTGGTCGATGGGCGGATCCTTGGAGTCTCCGCCATCGTATCCCTCGAACTCTTCCTCGTCCTGAAAATAAGTGCAAGTGGTTCATGAATATTTCATTTTTGTTGTTGCTATACTTAATTTACAATTACAATCTTTTGGAGAAACCGTGGTTCCTTAAGTGCGAAGGTCAAGTTGTGCATAAAAACATGGTTTCAGTCAAACTTTATAAACTACAACTGGTATCCACGTTACATAAGTTAGTGACTTTCTAAGATTGTAGGTATCTTTTACAGACTTGTAAATGCTCTTTACTTTGAAGAATACCTATATCAAGGTAAGAAAATATCCCCTGTCATTATGGTGAAAGTTGAGATACGTTAATATCTTTATCAGTAACTTTATACCAGTTCCCAATGGAACACTTATGACCAAGTTTCCCGAGAAGGAAACAAACACAAGGCCAACTCAGTGGAGGAAGCCTAGTTACATTTCACTGGGCACGTTCTTGACCAAAGTTCTTAACCCCGTTCTTGACCTCCTTCACAGCGAACAGGCGACTTTGTTTACCTGGAAGTGTTCGAACTCATCGTCATCCTCGACCAGGCCATCCTCTTCCTCGCTCTCCACGTCTTGTGCTTTCTTCCGTGGCTCCTTGGCAGGCGGATCATCGCGGGATTCGCCGTGGCTGGATCCTGCTCCACCGGAGAACGAATCCGCATTCTTGGCCGCGGGCTCCGCGTAAAAGTTGCCGTCGTCGAATTCGGCAAAATCATCACTGTCGTCTTCCTCAAAATCGCTCTCGGACTTTGTGCTGGCGAAGCAGAGGAGCGCCAGGAGCAGGAGGGCAAATACTGGTCGCATCTTGGGGATAGTTCGTTGGTCAATGTAGTCGGTTCACTTAAGTTATAATTTATCTAAATGTCTTAAAACTTTTCACACTAATTAGGAAAAAAAACTAGGTTAAACGATTAGTGTGACAGTGGCGTGCAGGTTGAAAAATAATACGCGTTAGTGCCTTTTAGCTTAAATGCAATTCAGTATTCCCAAAATAACATACGCTTACTAAATGTTCGCCAAATTAATTAATTAACTAAAAATTAATAAGATCAAAAAATATCAATGATATATCAATCAATCAGTCGTCCATTACGATGAGGTAAAAGTTATGAAGAGTCAGCATTTTGCTCTGACTAGTTGGCAGCCACACTGGTCACAACACGTTGCACTGTTCGAAACAAATTTAGTGTTTTGCTAGTGCCACGATTTGAATAAAGAAGTTGTTCTAAACAATTACGAATATCGTTGAGAACTAAGCAATGGTGAGCACTTGCCGGAAAAGGCGATCCCCCACTCATTGATGAGTCACCGCAACTGCCACGAGGACGAGCCGGCTGATGCAATTGCCCGCGGAATGACTGCAATTTATGGGTAAACACGATGCTAATAGTTTATTTTCCACTCGAATAGGCCACAACCGAGCGGAAGGGCACCTTTAAGGTGGAGTACCTGCAGAAGATCGAGCGGGAGGTGCAGCAGCGATGGGAGACGGAGCGAGTGCACGAGTCGGACGCACCAACGGCGCCAAAGAAGCGGCAGGCGGAGAAGTTCTTCGTGACCTTCCCGTTTCCGTACATGAACGGACGCCTCCACCTGGGACACACCTTCTCCCTCTCGAAGGCGGAGTACTCGGTGCGGTACCATCGCCTGAAGGGACGGCGAGTCCTCTGGCCCTTCGGATTCCATTGCACCGGCATGCCCATCAAGGCGTGTGCGGATAAGCTAACCCGCGAGCTGGAGCAGTTTGGCTTTCCACCACAGTTTCCCGAGACCGAGGAAGTGGTCCCTGCTGCTGCTGAAGCCGCATCCGAGGTGCCCAAGGACAAGTCCAAGGGAAAGAAGAGCAAAGCGGTGGCCAAAACCGGCGCTGCCAAATACCAATGGCAAATCATGCAGAGCCTCGGTCTGAAGGACGAGGAAATCAAGGACTTTGCCGATGCCGAGCACTGGCTTAACTACTTCCCACCGCTGGCGGTGCAGGATCTCAGGCGGATCGGCGTGCACGTGGACTGGAGGCGCACATTCATCACAACGGATGCCAATCCCTATTTCGACTCGTTCGTGCGCTGGCAGTTTAACCACCTGAAGGAGCGCGGCAAGATCATGTACGGCAAGCGTTATACCATATATTCGCCCAAGGATGGGCAGCCGTGCATGGACCACGATCGCTCCTCGGGCGAGGGAGTGGGTCCCCAGGAGTACACTCTCATCAAGATGAAGGTTCTGAAGGCGCCCAAGGCTTTGAGGTAAGTGTGAGATTTCTTTCGTTTTTAAATTATTAATGTTTAATTTCTGACCCAATTCTAGCTCCATCACGCAGCCAATTTACATGGTGGCCGCCACCCTGCGTCCGGAGACCATGTACGGGCAGACCAACTGCTGGCTGCATCCCGACATCAAGTACATCGCCTGGCAGTCCAGCAAAAACAACGAAGTGTGGATCAGCACGCGCAGGGCTGCTAGAAATATGACTTACCAGGGATTCACTGCCGTGGAAGGTGATGTGAAGGTGTTGGCTGAGGTAACTGGTCAAGATCTACTTGGAGTTCCCCTTTCGGCTCCTCTGACCCCGCACAAGATTGTCTACACCTTGCCCATGCTGAGTATCAAGGAGGATAAGGGAACTGGCGTGGTCACATCAGTCCCCTCCGATTCTCCTGACGATTACGCTGCTTTGGTGGATCTCCAGAAGAAGGAGGCATTCCGCCAGAAATATGGACTGAAAGATGAAATGGTGCTGCCTTACGAGCCCATTCCCATCATCGAAGTGCCTACGCTGGGCAAACTGAGTGCCGTCCATGCCTATGAAACCCTTAAGATTCAATCACAGAACGACAAGGATAAGTTGGCTGAAGCTAAGGAAATGTGTTATCTGAAGAGTAAGTAGTAGTAGCAGTCATGCAAGTCTCTGACTCTAAATTACATCCTTCACTTAAAGGTTTTTATGACGGCGTAATGTTGGTTGGTGAATTTGCCGGCCGCAAGATTCAGGATGTGAAGAAGGATCTGCAGAAACGTTTGGTCGATGCCAACGAAGCGGATGTCTATTACGAGCCGGAGAAGACCATTATGTCTCGTTCAGCTGACGAGTGCGTGGTAGCTCTTTGTAACCAGTGGTACCTCAACTACGGCGAGCCTGTATGGCAGGCGCAGGCCACCAAGATCTTGCAGGGCATGGAAACCTTCCACGAGGAGGCGCGCAACAATTTTGAAGCCTGCCTGAACTGGCTGCACGAGTACGCCTGCTCCAGAACCTACGGTCTAGGAACCAAATTGCCTTGGGACGACAAGTGGTTGATTGAATCCCTCTCGGACTCCACCATATATATGGCTTTTTATACCGTGGTGCACCTGCTGCAGGGCGGCACTTTCCGCGGAGAGAAACCAGGACCTTTTGGTAAGTCGAATTGTTTCACTAATGTTTTGCAAAATTTACATTTACCCTTTCTCAGGCATCAAACCGTCCGACATGACCGACGAAATCTGGGACTATATCTTCTTTAAGGAAACTCCACTGCCAAAAAAGACAGCCATTAAACAGGAACATCTTGCAGTTCTGCGTCGCGAGTTCGAGTACTGGTATCCAATGGATCTCCGCGTCTCTGGCAAAGATCTCATCCAGAACCACTTGACCTTCTGCCTGTACAATCACGCTGCCATCTGGCCTAATGATGAAAACAAGTGGCCCAAAGGAATGCGTGTTAATGGCCACCTGCTGCTGAATTCTGCCAAGATGTCCAAGTCGGACGGAAATTTCCTTACTCTGACCGAAGCTGTGGACAAATTCTCTGCCGATGGCATGCGCCTGTGTTTGGCTGATGCTGGCGATAGTGTGGAGGATGCCAACTTTGTGGAGAGCACCGCAGATGCAGGTATCCTGCGTCTATACACTTTCATTGAGTGGGTCAAAGAGATGTTGGACACCAGGAGCAGCCTGAGAAAGGGCACAGATAAGATCTTCAATGATCAGGTTTTCCTTAGTGAACTCAATTTGAAAACGCAGCAAACCGATGATAATTACCGAAAGATGTTGTTCAAGGAGGCTCTCAGGAGTGGCTTTTACGAACTGCAATTGGCCAGAGACAAGTACAGGGAGCTGTGTGGCGCGCATGGAATGCATGAAGATCTGGTACTGGAGTTTATTCGCAGACAAGCTCTTCTGGTATCCCCGATTTGTCCTCATATGGCGGAGCATGTCTGGGGACTGCTGGGTAACAAGGAGTCCATTGTTCATGCTCGGTGGCCAGAGGTTGGAGCCATCAACGAAGTCGACATCCTGTGCTCGGAGTACCTCATGGAAGCCGCTCACTCGTTCCGTCTGAACCTCAAGAACATGCTGCAAGTCAAGGGCAAGGCCGGAAAAGATAAATCTGTAAATGTGCAGACAGCGAAACCGAATCGAGGCCTTGTTTGGGTAGCTAAGACCTATCCTCCTTGGCAGTGCTGTGTTCTCGATACCATGAAGGAGTTGTTTAACAAATCGCAGGCCCTTCCAGACAACAAAGTCATTGCTGCTACCCTGCAGCAAAAGGCGGAGTTGAAGAAGTTCATGAAACGAGTGATGCCCTTTGCCCAGATGATTCGCGAAAAGGTGGAGTCCGGCAAGGGTGTGGCTGCATTGGCAGTCACGTTGGAGTTCGATGAGCGTCAGGTGTTGATAAGCAATTTGGAGTACCTGAAGAACACACTAGATGTAAGTATTTCCCATTGCTTTATGTGTTGCTGTTCCATCAACGCTGTTTTATTTTCAGCTTGATGTCTTGGAAGTTAAATATACCGATGACCCGTCGGCCCCCGAGAAAACGCGCGAGGAAGTTCGTCCCGGCTCTCCCTTCATCAACTTTTCAGTGGCACCAAATGTGAGCGTTGAGCTGATGAACCCTGTCGAGCGTTCGTCGCTTTTCCAGGTGAACACTGTTATTTCCGAGGGAGATACAGTGCAATCTCTGCGAGAAAAGCTCTCCAAGATCATTGGGCTTAAAACGGATACGGCTACCCTTACGATCTGGCGTTACGAGGATCCCGCTCTGGGGCCCAGAAAAATTCCCATCTTTGAGGATTACAAAACAGGAAAGACTGTCCTCGGCGATGGAAACTTCATTCTGGATGTGGAGAACAAGAAAGTGAGCGTGGAGCAGGCAGGAAAACTGACCGAAGTGGGCAGGAATCTGATCTATGTGCTGGATTAAGTGGAAATGCATCACAAGCCCAACTAATTTATTCATAGAATGAAATTATAAAGTTGTAAAACAAATCCATGGTTATTAAAATGTACTGTGAGATGCTTGTGCCCAAACCAAGTAACTTAAAAATGTAACATACGATAGACTATGGTAAAATATATTCCTAACCACTTAAGTTGCCTAATGTAGGTCTAACTGAACTTGAAACCTTTTATAACGACTATTTCATGGGGTTCTACAAGTGACCCAATTAAACAATTGAATGCTAACTGAAAGATAACGATTCTGCCTTGATTCTGAAACATCGAAGAGCCAAAGTGACTTCTTAAATGGGAGTGAGTCCAATGCCACCCCGAATCGGATGTGTTCAGAGCATTTTGTGTGCCAGTTGGCGGATAAGCCGCACAGTGGTAGCACAGCGGGTCTTCTACCCGCTGGGTGGCTATCACTAATCCAAGAAAGACATTCCTATATAAGGCTTTGCTCTGCCTTGGGCCATTAAATACATTCGGTTAATGTGGAACAACCATGTTGGCTCTCCGCTTGCTTTTACTGCTGCAGTGCAGCCTGTTGGTACTGGCAGGCGTTTGTTTAATACCGCAGCCCATTAAGAGGCAGCGCTCGCTTGAGGATATAGTGAAGAATCCCTGGAAGCTTTCACCACGCCTGGATGGCCGTATTGTGGGCGGTCATCGCATTAACATCACCGACGCACCACATCAGGTTTCGCTGCAGACTTCGTCCCACATATGCGGCGGCTCCATCATATCGGAGGAGTGGATATTAACTGCCGCCCATTGCACCTAGTAAGTTAGCCGCTCAGGGAATCCTCTCTGTAGAATGTGTTATGAATGCTTCCTCCATTTCAAAGTGGTAAAACGGCAGATCGGCTGAAAATACGCCTGGGCACCAGTGAATTCGCTCGCAGAGGTGAACTGCTGCGGGTGCAGAAAATCGTCCAGCACTCCCAGTTCAACTACACCAATGTGGACTACGATTTCTCCCTGCTGCAGCTGGCGCACCCCATCAAGTTTGACGAGACCAAAAGGGCTGTCAAGCTGCCCGAGTCGCAGATGAAATTCACGGACGGGGAAGCCTGCTTTGTGAGTGGTTGGGGCAACACCCAGAACCTGCTGGAGTCCCGCGAGTGGCTGCGCCAGGTGGAAGTGCCTCTGGTTAATCAGGAGCTGTGCAGTGAGAAGTACAAGCAGTACGGCGGCGTCACCGAGCGCATGATCTGCGCTGGCTTTCTGGAAGGCGGAAAGGATGCGTGCCAAGGCGATTCCGGCGGTCCGATGGTCAGTGAGTCGGGCGAGCTGGTGGGCGTGGTTAGTTGGGGCTACGGCTGCGCCAAGCCCGACTATCCGGGTGTCTACTCAAGAGTAAGTTTCGCACGGGATTGGATCAAGGAGCACAGTGGTGTTTAGACTTCTACGAGTACCTTAGCTTGGATACAAATTGCTCCTTATGCGACTGCTTGCACTAGTGTATTTCATCCGCAATAAAAGGTTATCAAATGATGCCAACCAAACCGCCCGAACCATTTCATAATGCGCTGCTCCGCTGGAGGGATTCGCACACGTTGCCAGCACGCAGGCAACATTTCAAACACGCGACCCTCCAGGATATCGCACACTTCGCAGGCGCATGTCGCGTTGTTGGAAATGAGTCTACTTGGCCAGGTTGAGCGGATGTGTTGGGCTGCACGAGTTCTTGGCCTTTTGGGACGCTGTGGGCATCGCATCTAATTGTTTTGCTTTTGATTGGGCGGCTTATCAGCCAACTGTCATCGTTGCGATGGGCTGGAGCCCCGTTCATGTGTTACATGCGGCGTATACGCAATTACTTGCATTACGTATACGTAGGGATCAGTTTGTGTGCATCGTGAACAATCGGTTGGTGTGGCTTACTTTCCGTTTGAACAGGCCCCTCCATGGCTGTGTTTGCTTAGTGATAAATTAGCTTACGGAAATTAACATTAGGCGTTGCATAATTCAGATGCACATATGTACATAAATACGAGTACTTGCATAGCCGTGGCATTGGCGAATTGATCGCACAACTTATGTAGCTTTGAGTGGAAACTTTGGACGGATCGGCTGCGTGGTCTAGTGCGATGTTCTTACATTGGTTTCGGCTCTGTCACTTTCGGTTTTTCCACATTTGCTTTACAGTAGTGGTTATATAAATTAGATATTTTTTGCAGGGATTAATGAATTCATTCTTAGTTGATATGTATTCAACCAATTTGATTCCATCAACCTTAGCTTAGATACCAAATATATTATATTTACATAGATTAAAGCCAACCACCCAAAAACTAAAAACTATGAATCAGTTTTTTTTGGACAACTAATTCTCTTATAGAATTTGATCGCCTAGCATTACAGAATTAGGTTGAATAACATTTTAACGCCAAATCGCCTACTGTGGTGCGTGCCTTTGCACACTGTTATTTATTTCAGCGCCTCAGGCTGAGCAAGACCTCCGTTTCCAGTTGATTTGCCACCGCGATTCGGTGCCGACGTGCTTTCAGCCACCGATGAAACTCTCAAAGTAAATATATACGCCTGTATAGAATACGCATAAATATAGTATACGCATTCAATGAGTGCGTTGCGTATACGCCGCGTGTGCCCGCGCCTGCAACCAACTGTTGATTCCATTCCCAAAAAGGATTATTCAACGGATCATCTGAGGCACTCAGAGCCGAAAAATGTCACCCTGACGAAGTCTACGACCGAGTCGCTTGAAGGCAGCGTTAAAACGTTTAGCTCTACACTGGAAATAATATTCGTTTTCGTATGAATGCTGTAGCAGTGCACAAACAAAATTAATATATCAATGCAATAGCAATATGGCCAAAATTAATAAATTAAATTATATAAAAAATTCAAAAAAATAAATAATAATAAATAAAAATAATCAAAGAACTAAACTAAAATAAAAATAAAATATTTATGCATATTTGTAAGAGGACTTAAACTTTTCGAACAGTCAGCGCGCGTTATTGAAGTTATAATGTTGCAAGTTACCTACAGTTTTGTTGAGTGCACCGAATCGTTCTGACTATTGCTATTGTTCCCAGAGTGTTCTCCGGATTTTACGGCGCAAGTTACCTACAATTTTGTTCAGTGCACCGAAGCGTTCCGACTATTGCTGTTGTTCCCAGAGTGTTCTCCGGATTTTACGGCGCTGGTTATTCATGTTATCGAACATCGTCAGTGGCGGTGGGCAAATAAACGTGCGGCACGTTGTGATTACACGTGAGCCGAGTTCGCTGGCTGTCCGGCAATGGGTGCGAGCGGGACGGAGCAGCGCGGCGAGAGCTTTCGGCGCGCCTATCCCGCTCGCACAGACGCCGGCCGCGGCACGTTGGCGCTGTGTGAGTGGGTGTTTCGGTCAGTGTGTGTATCTGTGAGATGCATTTTGTATCTGACTTCAGTGAGCTAGCCGTAACTCAGATCGCATTCAGCATTGTGCGTTTCAAGTAAGCGGTTCGTTGAGCGGTTCGAAGCTTATCTAGAAAGTTGAAGTCCCGAAAATAAATATCTCTAAAATAAATAACCCAGAATAACGATGCTTTCTTAATAGAATCTTAAATACTTTGGTGTTATCAATAATAATATTCAAGTATTAATGGTGCTTAAAAGAGTGCATACATGACTCACTGGTCTTTCTCTCAGTGTTGAGCCTAGATTGCAACTGAAAAAAGTGCAAATTAATTGTTATTGAAGTTGCATTTTACGTAAGCCGAAAACGAGCTTCAATAGTATTAATAATTTTTTCTGTGCAGTGGTATCAAAGAAAAGTTAACAAAGTGTTGAATAAAATGGCACCTCTCCAACAAATTTGTCCTGAGTGTTAATTTTTACAATAAAGTCGACTTAAATAAATATTTATGAAACTACTTTCAGATACAAACCAAAAATATTTTCGTTAGTGTATATAGAAACACTGAAACTAAAACACGATCTATTCTACAAAGAAACCCAACAAGTGCTCAGAAAAGCTCAATTGCTTAGAAAGATAAACAATCAGCTTGAATTAAAACAGCTAAAACTAAAACAGCAACATATTTAACGACCGAGAAAATTTGAAAATTGGTAAGAAATATAAACGAATTATTTATTAAACCTTACAAAGCTTAGACCTGACCTAACACAGTTTGATTTCAATTGACCTCTGAGAAAATTACACTTTACTAAAGCTTTTTAAAAAGCACTTTAAGCGGCAAACCAATTAAAGCTTGCACCGAATGAAAACCCATTTTCACATGAAATCAACATCACATAATACTGGGAAAAAGCAAACAAGTTAAAGGCGCAATTTATGCAGTACATCATCCTTAGAATTCTTATGTAAATTGCACCCAGTGAACTGTCAAAAAAGGAGGCCTGGCCTTCCACGGACTTAATGTCAAAAACAGGATAGCGAAATAAATCCGGGAATCATTCTGAAACTGACAGATTTCGTCAAGGCACACAGATGTTGAGTTGGTTTTTGCCCGTTTAGCCAGGATTTTAACGACCCTCAGATTTATTGGCATTGCAAATTGATATCTGAAATCTTTATTCGTGATCTATCTTTGCTTTCCGTTTCAAATGCAAATTCGCCTTCGCTTCAATGAATTTTCCCTTTGCGAAAGAATGAAAAATGTTTTCACTCGCCAAGAAAAGTAGATACTCAGCTTGAAATTTCAATGCGCATATCATTTTGTAGTTCTCGCCTTGCGTTTTATGTAAGTTGGGTCTTTGATTTCATAACCAGTCAGCGGAAATGGTATTGGGGTTGCTAGAAACGTTGCACAGATACAAAGATGATCGGATGAGCTATGATTACAGATGCTGAAAAAACGATGCTCAACCGAAAATGTTGGATGTTAGTTTCTGTAGGAAAAATAAAAAATATTGATTTTTATATTTGTTTTCTGTTAGAATTCATTAAACTTGTAAGACCCTTATTTTTTAATATTTTCCTACTTTATCTACGCACTAAGCACTCAAATATAATGGAAATTTAATCATTATTAAATTTTGAAACAATTTTCAGTAGTTTAGCTAGGCAATAAATGGCTTTGTATTCTAAAATTATCTCACCTGTTGCCGCAGTTTATTTTCCGGTCCTGACCATTTAGCGTGCCATTTAACGTGTTCGCCCAAAAGAGGGCAATGAAGACCAATGCAGCTCAGCTGCACTCGCCATTGTCGCCAAATATAGCGCCAAACATTCAAAGTCAGCAGCCTGGAAGCCGCACAAGAACCAGGTCCTAAAGGTCCTGCCGATTCATGTCCTATAAATATCGCCACGGGTGGTCGGCATGCACACTGCACTGTGCTCCAACTAAAGCCTTTGCTCCTCCGGAGTACGCAGTCCGCAGTCCGTAGTCCGTACCAGTGGCTTTGTCCTCCAACTGTGTTGTTTACACAATCAGCCCGGATGTCTGCGAGTGAGTCACATGCAGCCACCGGGTGCCGCAGTCGCCTGTTGGGGATTTGCCTGGTTACGTGATGGCTGAAGGTTGGGCTCCCCCTGGTGGGCGGGCACCAATTCAACCCACTTTTTTCATTCTGGCCCGCAGAGTGTGGCTTCTTGGAACTTTCGGGGCTCGTCTGGTAGGCAGTTTCCTTAAATGGGAGACACGCTGTGCGGGCACGTGTGTGAGGTGATGTGTCCGGATTTAATGGGAGTTGATTCGGGTTTCATCCCCAAGCGGCTGCAGTTGCAGCACATTGTGTTGACTGCGCCCTTGATGGTCACATGGGAGGCGGTTTTTGTTTTGTTTGCGAATGCAAAAATTTATGGGAATTTTTGGGGTTGCGTAATGACGACGGGTCACTGAACTTAACTTATCGTTAAGCATTAAACTAATTTACCATATTTTAACTTCGTAATCCTTCTTACCATTTTAAATTACGAATGCATTAACATGTGAATTATAAGTCACTAGTCATGAATTATTCACATTCCTCTTTAGTACGTAATAAATATTACAATTTTATTATTTTATTATAGCAATGAAATAAAATATGAATACCCACCTACAGTTACAGCTAACGCGCAAATTGCCAAGAGGTACCTCAATGTTAGCCATCGACAATGAGCAGAGTTAGGCAGCTCCACAATCACATCTGGAATAATCAGAACTTTATCAAGTGAAATCGGTTATGGACTGGTTACTAGCAACTCCGCAGTTGTACAGTGCGTTCTCCTCTTTGGGCGGCTTGGAAGGGGATACCTATGTGGTCAGCCCAAATGCATTGGGTAAATATTCAACATCACTTCATCATCACTTAGATCTTCGTAAATGTAATGCTTGTAATGCTTGTTGTACAACGCACAGCCATTCTGGAGGAGATCAACTACAAGCTCACCTATGAGGACCAGACACTACGCACCTTTCGACGAGCCATTGGCTTTGGCCAGAATGTGAAGTCAGATCTGATACCGCTGCTGGAGAATGCCAAGGACGATGCGGTCCTGGAGTCGGTCATCCGGATACTGGTCAACCTGACGGTGCCGGTTGAGTGCCTGTTCTCCGTGGACGTGATGTACCGCACGGATGTGGGTCGCCACACCATTTTCGAGCTGAACAAGCTGCTGTACACCAGCAAGGAAGCATTTACGGAGGCCAGGAGCACCAAGAGCGTGGTGGAGTACATGAAACACATACTGGAGTCGGACTCAAAGTTGTCGCCGCACAAATGCGATCAAATCAATAACTGTCTGCTGCTGCTGAGGAATATCCTCCACATTCCGGAGACGCATGCCCAATGCGTGATGCCCATGATGCAGTCGACGCCCCATGGCATCTCCATGCAGAACACGATTTTGTGGAACCTCTTCATCCAGAGCATCGACAAATTACTCCTGTATCTGATGACCTGTCCGCAGAGAGCTTTTTGGGGAGTGACCATGGTGCAACTGATTGCCCTGATCTACAAGGATCAGCATGTGAGCACTCTGCAAAAACTGCTTAGCCTCTGGTTCGAAGCCTCTCTGTCGGAGAGCTCTGAGGATAACGAGAGTAATACCTCGCCACCCAAGCAGGGCAGTGGCGATTCCAGTCCCATGCTCACCTCGGATCCCACCTCCGATTCCTCGGACAACGGCAGCAATGCCCGCAGTATTGTCGGTGGCATGCGGGAGGGAGCATCAGCCACTTTGCAGGATGTGAGCCGCAAGGGCCAGCAGTACCAGAACGCCATGGCCAGGGTGCCAGCCGATAAGACCGATGGCTCCGAGGAGGCCAGCGATGTGACGGGGAACGACAGCGAACAGCCAGGATCTCCGGAGCAGTCCCAGCCCTCTGGCGAGTCCATGGATGATAAGGATTACGAGGACCAGAGACGCAGCCAGCTGCACGAGAACGGAGAGCTGGATAAAAATGAGGTGAGTACTTATGATGAAAGACAATTGTCCCGTGACCCATACAAATACTGTGCTCTTCCAGGATAAAGTGGAGAAAGAGGAGTGCCTGCTATTGGCCCCAGCCACGGAGCCCCTAAACTTAAGCCAACAACCAGCTGACAAGCTCAACAGCACTACCAACCCAACGTCCAGCCCACCACAGGGCTGCGTGGGTCATGAGCCATTCAAGGCACCACCTCCTCTGCCAGTCAAGGCCTCCACCTCAGCACCTGCTCCGATGCAGCAGTTCAACGCGACCCACGTGACTGCGGTGGACTTGGGCCAAAAGTCGCCGCATGCCGGCCAGCTGCAGCTGACCAAGGGCAAGTGTTGTCCACAGAAACGGGAATGCCCCTCCTCGCAGTCGGAGCTGTCGGATTGCGGCTATGGCACCCAGGTGGAGAATCAGGAATCTATCTCCACCTCCAGCAACGACGACGATGGGCCGCAGGGCAAGCCGCAGCACCAAAAGCCTCCGTGCAACACGAAACCACGGAATAAACAACGGGCGGTTATGTCGCCAATGGACAAGAAGGAGCTGAGACGCAAAAAGTTGGTCAAACGCAGCAAAAGCAGCCTGTGAGTGCTAGAAGATACTTTCCATGAGTTCTTTAAAAACAATTTGATTCATTTAACGCACAGCATCAACATGAAGGGTCTGGTGCAGCACACGCCCACCGATGATGACATATCCAATCTCCTGAAGGAATTCACCGTGGACTTCCTCCTCAAGGGCTACAGCTATCTGGTGGAGGAACTGCACATTCAACTGCTTTCCAATGCGGTAAGCTTATAGATTGCTATAGAATTATTATAAATACTGCAATTGTCTCATTTCGATTGTCCTAATAACAAATTGTAACACACTGAACTCGAGACAGAACAAGGTGAAAATCATAAGAAACTTCTAGATTTTATTGTGCAACATGGAGCTGCTTGTGAAATTTTAAATTAGCAATAGCTCCTCAGCTTAAAGTAGACTCAATATCCTTTTAGATGCCACACCTTCCCCTATTATATATTATTTTCCTATTATATGATGCCAAAACTAAAGAGCATTTCTCCGATTTTCCCACAGAAGGTGCCCATTGACACGTCGCACTTCTTCTGGCTGGTCACCTACTTCCTGAAGTTCGCCGCCCAACTGGAGCTGGATATGGAGCACATCGACACCATTCTCACCTACGATGTGCTGAGCTACTTGACCTACGAGGGCGTGTCCCTCTGTGAGCAACTGGAACTCAATGTCCGGCAGGAGGGCAGTGATCTGAAGCCGTATCTCAGGCGCATGCACTTGGTGGTGACGGCCATCAGGGAGTTCCTCCAGGCCATCGAAACGTACAACAAAGTGACCCACCTGAATGAGGACGACAAAGCCCATTTGAAGGAGCTCCAGCTGCAGATTAGCGAAATGTCCGATCTGCGGTGCCTTTTTGTGCTGCTGCTGAGGCGCTTCAATCCCAGCATCCATTCCAAGCAGTATCTCCAGGATCTGGTGGTTACCAATCACATTCTCCTCCTCATTCTGGACAGTTCGGTCAAACTCGGTGGGGGTCAATCCATTCGCCTGTCGGAGCACATTGCCCAGTAAGATTTTACCCCACAACTAATCATTTCCAATGAATTCAGTGCTAATGAGTTGATATTACAGGTTTGCTACGCTGGAGGTGATGCACTACTATGGCATCCTGCTGGAGGACTTCAGCAACAACGGAGAGTTTGTCAATGACTGCATCTTCACCATGATGCATCACATAGGTGGCGATCTGGGCCAGATTGGGGTGCTCTTTCAACCAATTATTTTGAAAACCTATTCAAGAATTTGGGAAGCGGACTATGAACTATGCGATGTGAGTTATTCCAGAGATTGGCTCTTTTGCTTTCATGAAACAGCATATTTCCACAGGACTGGTCTGATCTCATCGAGTATGTGATTCACAAGTTCATGAATACTCCTCCGAAGTCGCCACTCACCAATCCCACAACTTCCTTGACGGAAATGACGAAGGAACACAACCAGGAGCATACCGTTTGGTAAGGATTTCAGATGTTTTCCTTAAGGCAGTATATTTAATAGGGATAGGCAATATATTGCAATCTATGATCTAAGATACAACTAACCTAAGCAATAAACATAACATTTTAAACACTTATCGCCCATAAGAACAAGGTGTCTAGCGTTTTCTTTTAGACATATTTAGTTGTTCTAATCATAACTTTATCTGTGGATGTCTTACCAGTGATTTTCAAAGTGTCGCTCATTCATTTTTAGGGAACCAAGTATTTATGAGATTCTTTACTAGACTTAAAGGCTTACTAACCTGGCTTTCCCCACGAAAGTGCTTACTAACTATATTAGGTTCACTTGAACATTGGAAAAGTCTAACCCTTACTTACTCAGTTAGGCGTTTGTCCATGTTATTAATCATAAATATTCTTTAGCACTTGGTCGCAGGAGGAAATGGACACCCTGTATTGGTATTATGTGCAGAGCAAGAAGAACAACGATGTTGTGGGAAAGATAGTACAGCTCTTTAGCAACAACGGCAACAAGCTGAAAACCCGGATTTCTATTATCCAACAACTCTTGCAACAGGTGAGGATACAGTGAAGACTTGCAAAGTGCACTCCATTAATTGTGTTCCTTTTGCTAACTCGCAGGATATTATAACCTTGCTGGAATACGACGACCTGATGAAGTTCGAGGATGCTGAGTATCAGAGAACGCTGCTGGCCACTCCCACTTCCGGAACCACAGAGTCCGGAATCGAGATTAAGGAGGGCGCCTACGGCAAACCCTCAGATGATGTGCAGGTGGGTTTGCGTGGTTTTACTGTCAGAGATGAAATAGAAATGAATTTACCCATTTTGCAGATCCTGGTTGACCTGATCATCAAGGAGAACAAAGCGCATCACCTGTTGTGGCTGCAAAGGATCCTCATCGAGTGCTGCTTCGTCAAGCTGACCCTGCGGAATGGTTTCAAGAGTCCGGAGAGTTTCAAGCACATCATGGAGCCGGTGGCCTACCACTGCATCTGCAAGCAGAAGTCCATTCCGGTGGTGCAGTGGAACAACGAGCAATCGACCACGATTCTGTACCAGCCCTTTGTCCTGCTGCTCCACAAGCTGGGCATTCAGCTGCCGGCGGACGCGGGCTCGATCTTCGCCAGAATCCCGGACTACTGGACGCCGGAGACCATGTACGGACTGGCCAAGAAGCTGGGACCGCTGGACAAACGTGAGTTAAAGTCAACCACACCCACACACAACAAAAAAAAAAAAACGAACCCATTTGCCATGTCACTAAGGTGATGTATATACCGTTATCAACAATTTTTGCTCTCTCTCTGTGTGAAATTTTGATCATGGGAATCTCGCCCGAAACCGAAACCGAATCCAAATCCAAATCCAAATCCGTGCTTCCATGCATTCGCATTCTCATTGTGTGTCCGTCGGTGTATCTCGATATGCTGTGTGCCTCTCTCCTTCTCCTCCTTCTGGGCTCTTATAGTCAACCTCAAGTTCGACGCCAACGAGCTGGAGGATGGGACGCCGACGACCCCGTTGCGGTACCGCCACACCGGACCCCGCAACTCCCTCAGCTCGGTGAGCAGCTCGGTGGACGTGGATCTCGGCGAGTCCGAGGAGCTGGCCCTCATACCCGAGGTGGACGCGGACGTGGAGAAGGCCCACGCCCTGGCATCCCTGCCCTCGCCCAGCGAGATCTTCGCGGTGCCCAAGACGAAGCACTGCAACTCGATCATCAGGTGAGCATCGGAGTAAGCATAAGCTGCTGACCTTCCAGTTGATAATTTCCCCTTATCTCCTGGCTCATCCACAGATATACACCCGATCCCACGCCGCCAGTGCCCAACTGGCTGCAGTTGGTCATGCGCAGCAAATGCAATCAGCGCGCAGGTCCGGCTGCTGATCTCAGCGATTGGTAAGTGCACGTTGTCCACATGCATCCACATCCATATGCATATCCATATGCAGAGCCAAGTGGTGCGACCTAGCCCAACCTGAGCGCAGACAATGCCGAAAATCTTCAGATTTATGGCACACGGCAGCCGTTAAGGCTCTCCAAACAGCGAACATATTGTTAACACGAGAGCTGCGATCTCTCCTCTCGCTGCCAACTGCCAACTGCCAACTGGAATCAGCCAACTTCGAGCTTTGGGCCGCGATTTATGAACTTTGCGGCCCCTGCTGCATTTACTTTCTGTGTTGACAGTCGTTGTCGCCAGTTGCGCACTAAATGTCAGCTCCGTTTTGGCCATTGTGTCTGTCGGCCAGTCTCCCTGCCTTCCACTTAGAACTGCCTGCACTCGCATTCTGCAATGCATATTTCTTGATCAGCACTTGAAAATGGTTTACAAAGCTGTCTAAATATAAATATTGCATACTTTCGGATACCTTGGTAGAGACTTTTGGCTGAGTTAGCAAAGAATTTAAGGGCAAGATATAGATATTTGCTACCTATAGTATGCCATGTTTTTCCCAGTGCAGCTCGGACCACCGCTCGACTATCTATCTAGATGCATTTAGAGTGTGTTTCCCATCCGTTTGGCCATGTGTGTCCGTATTACTCGTACTTTTGGACCGACTTCGACTCCGTCTCCGTCTCCGTCGCGAGACCCCACACGATCAGATGCAGCTCACCCGCTGGTGGAGCTAGCTGCTCCTGCGATTTTGCGATTCCGATTGCGACGGCTGCTGCTCATGTTGAACAGCGTTTTGCATTTGGGCTTATGACTTTTTGTATGGCATTTTGTTGTTACACCGAAACGCTTAGATTCGCGATAAATGGGCGGGCTGCCCGATTACAGGATAACGCAAAGTATATTGGCTCTGCGTGGAACACGCTTGGGAATGGGCTCGCAAAGGGTGGGGCTGCGTTTAATTTGGGCGTTTAAACGTGTTTGGTTGACTGATATCTGGCTATTAAATACTTTGAGCTCTAATTAAACAGCAATAATATATTCAATTCACGAGAGCGCCGAGGTTTTACGAGCTTTGTAGATTTTAAAACATTTATTTTGCGAAATATCAAATTTCTGAAATCTGATCAAGATTATATTTACATAACGCCATAAGTTTAGTGACTTATTGGATTTTATGAGAAAAATTATTTGGTTGTGTGTTTTCAGTTTAAAAATGTGCTAGTAACCAAACAAGCAAGATTCAGTTTTTGCTGCATTTATTAACTTCGTTTTCCTTTTTTGAAAAGTTGGTTTTTCAAGCTTGCCCCAGTGATACCCAAACTTTCCACACCCTCACTTGGGTTTTTTCTCAAGAATCATTTACGCCACAAGCGAACACTCAGCTATCCGGCAATCAATGCTATCCGTGAAATACATGGGCCTGACCTCTGTCAGCGAACCCAGCAGCAGCAAAAACTCAGCAGCAGCAGCAGCAGCAACAGCAGCAGCAGCAACTGCAGCAGCAGCAACATCAAGAGCAACACGAAATGAAGTCATCGCGATTAGCACGCGCAGCTGAGACAGAGCCTATGAATGTCGGGGCAGTTGTATCTGATAGATACACGTACTCGCACCCTGCCTGCATAAATTGACTTTGCGTCTCTGTCGCATAAATAAGCCAGATAATCGCGGCAGCTGGTTGAAGCCAATCAATTCATTAGGCTTATAGGGCGAAATCAAAGCGTTTACACCGAATTAACTTTAATAAACCGCCTGAATAATTGGCCATTGTTCTGGGTAATTAGAAATCCGAGCTTGGCTATGGAGAGCGCCATTAATCACCTCGAGAGATCTTGACATTTAGCCAGGTCTTACAATCATCCGCCAACTGCTGTTGCATCCTTAGAAGAAACTGTCGTCGACCCCATGAGAATTTCCAGCAAACTGAACCAGTTTTTGAACCGAAATTTGCATATTTTTTGTCCGCTATCTGCGTTTTGGTCTTCGAAGGCATGTGATATTTTTATTTATACCTTGCTGATATTTTATTTATTGTTTGCTGCACCAGCGCGTTGGTTCCTCTGCCTTTGTCAAACGAGTTTGGTCGTTACAGTATGTTACTGTTTTTCGTCTTATTGCCTTTTGCGTGGAAAGTAAAAGTCAAATGTTACGCGATCTTTGGCCCCCTGGGGCATCGCCAAGCTGAAAAGGCAGTGCGTGAGTGCCAGAGTGCAACCAAACAAGTTCTTTGTTCAGTCTGGATACTCTAGGAAACTGCATAAAAAGCTACCAAAGTTGCTGCCTCAATAGATGACTGGGATCACTAAGGATGAAGCTATCTACTATGTTTAAATTACTGTTGCACATGCCAGCAGAAGCGACTAAGTATCCCACAGATACTTGAAGTGATTGCAAAACTCTGTAAAAGTTTGGGCAAATTAACACTAGATGCGGACACGCTTTTGGTCGCTTTTATTGCAATTTTTCTTGTTGCCCTGGGGGCGTGGGCGTTGACAAAAGGCAATTTTCCAAAGTAATTTACTCTGACGCCTGGCGAAAATTGAATTTGACATTTTTCCCATTTTTGCTGTTATTTGCTTGAAGTCAGTGGCCAGCCCACTAGGAAGCCCAAGTCAACAGCTCGAGTGGCGGCTTGAGTTGCACTTTTCAAGTGGCCCGTGGGCTGTGTTTTCGACTCCGCAATCTGTCAGGAACAGCAGCAACACCAAGTGAACAGCAGCAACATCGGGCAGAAGACTGCTAACCATATATATATATATTTTTATACGCTGGATTTCCCAGCTTCAATTGGCGACCTTCTTGGGCTCCGAACTCATGTTGGGTTTGGCCTGGGTTTTAATATTTTTTCCATTTTGGCTTCTACATTTTGTTAACATTTTGCATTATTATTGCCATGCACTTCGTTGCTGCTGCAGAGCAATAAGTGCAACATGCAGCCGAAACATGGACACCTATTGCTCTACGGCGGACTGGGCTGCCACCACATCAATCAGGCCCATAAATCATTTTAATTATTAAATAAACAAGTTGCTGAAAAAAGAACCACTGCAGCCGTGGAGCTGTTGAGTCATTGTATGCAGAAACTGCTTCTACAGCCATAAAGTGTGAGAATATATGGGCTCGGGTAGCAAAGGGTTAATTGAGCAACGATCTGTGAAGTTTATATGAAAGGAAAGGTACAAGTAATAAAAGGGTACACATTGGGCGATTATTATTCATTAATAGCTTGATATAGCTTAGTTCGAGGGTCAACACTTGGTATGCTCTTACTGTACCTCAGTTCACCCATTCATTATACTCTTTTTATATATATATTTATTAAGTGAAGAATCTGTAATTCATTATACTAACCTCAGTGCTTGATTCTGTCCTCTGTTGCAGCGTGGGCTCCTCGGCGACAACCGTGGATGATGAGGGACTGGGCAAGTCCATCAGCACACCCACCTCGCAGGAGACGCGCACCTCCATGAGCACGGCTAATGTCACTACCACTTTGAGCCTGACCATGCTGAACACCTTCATGGGAAGCCAAAACGAGAACAGCAGCAGTTCCGGATGCGGTGGCACCGTGTCCTCCTTGTCCATGGTGGCTCTGATGAGCACTGGCGTGACGGGCGGTGGTGGTGGTCAAGATGGCGGTGGCGGTCAAGATGACGGCGGCGGTCAAGATGGCAGTGGCGGTAGCGGCGACGATGGTGTCGGCGACGTTGGCGGTGGCTCCTCCGGTCTGGACATGGATGCGGATGCCTTCGAGGGCAACGGATCGCACTTCCCGCGGGCCAACAACTTGGACCAGGAGTACAGTGCCATGGTGGCGTCTGTGTACGAAAGGGAGAAGGAATTAAAGTGAGTGCGATTGAGCCTGGAACTCCCAGCTCAAAGGATGCCTATTTAACAAGTCGCACTTCGATTATTTTTATTTGTTTCTGATTTACAAGCAACATATTCTTAAAACGTTATTTTAAATATGCCTCTCTTCAGTTTGACAGATTTCTTCCATGCAATATTTTCTCGCTCGCCTTAAATGGACATTTTCTAAAATATTTTCAATAGCTTTTGATGCTACACCTTAGTACACTGAAAATATTGTTTGAACAGATTTCTTCAATATCGATTTCCCGCTTATGTACATACTTTGAAATGTGTATTGCAGATCTCCCCTTTACCAAATACTTATTATTAACCTAAATAATTGTTCGACTTACTTCTGCCAGTCATTTGGCACAGGGTCTTGCATCATATGTTAAGATAAATTATTGTTATATATTAAGGATGGTGAAATGTGGCACTATCTAAACCATTTCATTCGCTTATTTTGTGACCCAAACCCACTAAAATGACTTTCCCATGGCGTTTACTCAGAAACTGGTAAACAGATACAAGTGTGTATTGGCTATCAACGGAAGATAAAAAGAAAATCGAAACCGATGGAGGCGAGGCGAGGCTCTAGTCAATCCGCAGCCAAGATTTCGACCTGGCTAATTGACAATTAGACAGATTGCGCAAATGGCAGCCCGTCATTCTGTCAATATGTCGGCCAAAGAGGGGAAAAGCTGGAGAATGCCGGGCATTGCTGAACAGTGTCTCACATAAATTTATGGCAAGCAATTATTCAATTTCAGCCATTTGCGGCTGGCAATGATTTTCCCAGTTTGTATGCGATTTGTATGGCTCTTTTTGGCCCGCCATTTTTTTTTTTTGGTTTTTTGGTGGGCGAGTTATCATTTGAGAGTGTGCTCATGTTTCGTCTTTTGGCTCATGATCATTGCAGCAGCGACAATGTCTCTTTGGCCTCGGACCTGACCAGAATGTATGTGAGCGATGAGGAAGATCGACTCGAGCGAACCGAGTTCCGGCTGCCCCACTATCACTGAGGATCCAGTCCCAATCGATCAGATATCCGAGTTTTGAGTGAGGCCTACCAGCTGGAAAGAACTGTACCTTAATCAATCAAATCGAGTAACATTTAATATTATCCGGCACAAGGATTGTACATTTAATGACCTCTGAATGCAAAAAGTATACCTGATTAATTAGCTACGCATAAAGTAAAGTACGCGGTTGAAGAAAAGTTAGAAGCAGAAAGTGTAGAAAAGTGCATTATTTGGATAATGAGTGTGAGGCTCTGCAGACTGTATGTCTATTCTAGCCCAATAGATACTCTTAAGTTAACCCTAGTTTCCAATCGTATTCGGTATACTTACCACATACACACACACACATTTATATGTAAATGGGCAGTTCCTGGTTGAAATAGTGCAAATATACACAGATAAATCTATTTACACGATTAAGAAAGAAGAGCGCCGGTGTCCAAAATCCATCTGTATGTATATCCTTAGTCATAAGTTATGCTTAGCAGTAATAAAGCTTTCCCTGTAGCCAAAAGCCACAAATCTCCGTCTCTGGCCGGGTGCAAATCCAATGTGAATAATGTGCAGCAAATTGGCGGTGCCGCAAATAAACGAGCGGTGGGCACCGCGAATTAAGGTCATCTGGCCTCTCCGTGGGTCAGGGGATCGGGCGAGGAACCAATCTGGGGAAACTCCACGCACGGTAGCCGATAGAACTGAGAAAAAAGTTAAACAAAAATTGCGGCAAAGAAATATTGAAAAAAGTACACTGAAGAAATATTACTAATTCATGTGATTAATATGATTCGCAATCTTAAATAGTGATTTGCACTTCAAACTAGTACATTCAATTCTTAAAATCCTCCAGATCAAATGTTTTCTAATTTATTAAGTTAGTTGGCAAATATTTATAGCCGCAGTGTATTAAATAAAACATAGGCGACTCGGTTCCAGTCACATATTGGGACTTGGTCTGGCCCATACATAAATGGCAAAACATGGCTAAAACAATTACCAAAATGCGGCGGGCACAACAATCGGCCATCGTAGCATAAGCATACTACTCGTACAAGAAATAATAATAATAATTGTGGCCAATTGCTGCTTAGTTGGCTAGTTAATTGCGACATGGCCAAGACGACAGTCCCCGCTCGGCCAACCCTCGATGGCCACGAGTTCTTGACTCGACTTGACTTGGCTAGAATGGCGAGAGGCTCTTGGAAGGTAAGTCATCCACTGTGGTTGCAGACCAGTTCGGAAACGGCTTAATATAAGTTCCGTTTTGGCTAAGTTTGTTTCCTCATTTTATTGTTGGCAAAATGCCCACATTATTTAATTTATTCACGGACAATGTTTGAGCTTAATAATACACTTAAGGCACAATGAATGATCATGATTTAAATAAAGTTTCATTTGTAGTTTAACAAAATTTGTTCCGTACTATCATGAAATCTCGGGTCAAAATCAATCATATTCACAATAGTAAACATTGATTTTGACGTACAGTTACAACCTAAAACACATTAAACATAAAATATATATTTCATGTTAAAGGTATTAATTTTTTTAATTTTCTTACCACTTATAATTTGAGCCACAACCACCTATGACTCGAAAATCACCCATTCGTGGCATCGCCTGTGTTTCCCATTGTGGTGCACTGGTGACGGGTTGGCTTATATCTTCGCCTGCAACTTGGCCCGCAACTTCTGGCCAAAATGCAGCCGGCAGTGCAATTACCAAGACAAGCAGCTAATTTTATTTGCTGTAAACGTGCGCCCTCGTCTTCTGATTTGCTCTGGGCTTTTGGCTGTGGTCTTAGTGTTTTGCTTCGGTGGGAATTATGCGATGACTTTTATTCGAGAACACGCCGATTGCGTGTCTGGGGCACATTAAGCTCCTTTGAGGGGCTGCCGCCTTCGTCACTCGTCAATTGAGTTGTCAGCACCAGAAGTGAGAAAACCCATTAATCGGGGTGGTCTCTTTAGTCATGATGCGATTTAGACGGGGTGCTAAATGGCCAAAGAGGCCGGTACCATATGCAAATCGAACCGGAAATCGCGGCGGCTGCGATTTGAAAGTGAAGAGTAGCACTCCCCACAAAAGAAGCGATTGTCAAAGGCTTCGGCCAGATTTAATAGCACAATGAGTTAGTCGATCGCGAAACTTGCTCATTTGAAAGTTGAGTTCAAGTTCAGAAATGGCAATGGCAACAGCAACAGGTTGCTATTATTTATTTGCCACAATAAGCTATTATCCCGCATACACAAATAGTTGTCAACGGGAACGATAAAGCAGCAAGAAACTCTTTTTTATACCCTTTTTTTTATACATACTCTAATCGAAGTTCATCTCTATTTATCTGCTTCGGATACAAATAACTATTTAATTTAAGCTTTTCTTTTCTTATCCAAATATTATGACGGATAGATTCTATACTTCAGTGTTACCTACCACTCATAACATCTAAATATAGGTTACATTTTAATACACATCTGCCTAAGGACAAGCAAATTAACCACCAAAATCGTTATACCCCGAAAGTTACTAACCAACTTCTTTGAAAGCAAATAGCCATCCTCAATGCTCATTCAATAATGACTTTGATCTTTGGCAACGGAACAATCGCATATTATTTTTGCAAAGGCATGTGAAATGGAAACTAAAAGTCAGTCTGATGTAATAGGGAAGTGTGAGACATTTAGATAACATTTGGCCAGGTCTCTCGCAGATATTTGGATAGTACTTGAGGCTCTGGAATTTTTTGGGCATTTAAAGGAGGGCCAGGAGAGCAGCAGCAGCAGCTCCAAAAGTCGTGTCAAGACAAAGTGCAATAATTCACACTCACTTTCGGGTTTGACGGTTTATAGGTGGGAACACCAGAGAGACCAGAAACACCAGCAACATTAGCAACGTTGCAACTTGCAACCCCGCAGAATCGACAGCTCGGACATGCCCAGACACTCCACTTATATAGACTCCCGCGATTATGAAACTCTACATGAGCACGGCTGACACTCTATATAGTTTATGACTTGATAAACCCTCGCATCGATCCGCCAGCAACCCATTGTCCAAATAAAGTCATAAGCCTGTGTTGCTGCAGCAGAGACCGAATTCAATTTACGATTTGTTTGATCGAGCATTTGAAATATGAAATGTTGGACCAATTTTGCCATGCCACCGGCGGCAATTTTCAGCTCTCCGATTTATAGTTCAATTTGATCATGATTTATCCCAACGCCCATAAATAATAACCGAGTTTAGGCGGCCAGGGAGTGGCCTTTGGCTGGGCCTCTAATTGATCGCGATTTGAAATTTAATTATCGCCAGTCGAATGGTCAGCAATCAGGTGCTCCAAGATGACCATCTCCCGCTTATTTGCATACGATTCTAGGGTTATGATGTGCCTTTTTAAGGCCGCCTGGGATTCCATCTCCGCGGTAGACTCGTCAGCGAAGACTTGAACCCAAGCCGAAGAGCCTGCTCGTTTCTTCGGGCATTCGGTTTCTTTCGGAGTGCCGGACTTTCGGAGTCGGCGGCTACTTCTACTTGGCGTTGCATAAAAAGTGGTTCAGTGGAGCAAACGCCTTCAGACCGAAAGCGTCGCGAATGCCTTTATTAAATCGGAGACTTTGAATTGTGCGGTAGTGAAGTGCATCCAAGGATCAGGATTCCATATCCTTTATAAGGAGCGAGTGTAATACTCCGCAGTGTTTGAATGGTTTAAGAGAATAAACACATAGGCTTACTTGCAGCAATCGGAATATACACTTAATTTGGATACATCAAACAATTGAGTTCTAAACAAAAGTGGAGGTAAGAGTGATCAAGTTTTTGGCATACATTTCTGAAATGGTCATTTTATTAATAAGCTTTCGACAAAAGTTCCGAGAAACAAAAAATGATTATTTATGATGCAATTTTTTGTTTTGCTGTACTGATATTATTCAGTTATGTTTTAGACGTTTATATATTTTATTGACTAATATAGAAAATGTTTTTTGATAACCAAAATTAGGATCCGGTTTAAATTTGGTTACATTCTCAGCATAAAAACGAATTAAAAAGGAATTTAATTATTTTGTTTAATTTGTTATAAAAATGTGTTTTAGGTTGCATTAAAGTAATTCAAGCGATCACATACGTGTAGGTCCATAAATTATGAGCTCCTATTATATTCCTTATATTTCTTTTTTTGTTGAAAACGTTTGAAGTTTGTCACAGATTGCATTAAAAACCAATTAAACGAAAACCGTCATTCCTTTCAATATGTTTATCAACAAATTATACTTGCCCTGATAAAAGCATGTTTTTTAATCAAAAATTCATTTTCGTTTGTGTTGAAAATATAAGAACTTGATATAGCTTAACATTTTTTGCTATTGGGTATGATTATGATTTTTATACAAAACTCTCTATAGGCCAAATGTCAAAGATTGCATAAATATGACACTCATAGAAATTATAGACTTTCAAGAGGATCTATACCAAGATATATACAAATTTTTCAGCGGCTCAAATTTATTAATATCCATACCAGTTTGCCTAGTTTTTGTTAAGCTCTTGCATTGCGGAAATATGCTAGCTATAATGAATACAAATTGTGCTAAGTTACAATAGAACAGACTTTGGGTTTCAGGGGGATTAAGTACAAGTACATTTGCAGCAAAGAAAAATAGACTTTATTGCTGATTGACAATTACAAGTGTGTTTTCATTACGGATTATTTTGATTTGGTTCAATTTAAATTGTATTGGCGACTGAAATTGCCAGCGAATTGCTTTTTAATCAGCCTGACAGACGTCACACGGTGGCAGACAGACTAATTTGCATATTAATTTTAATTGAGTGAACAGCGACCGGCAGGAGACATCCATCGATAAAGTTCATTCGAATTGAAGTGGAAAATGTCAGCCCCGAGACCGAAAATCGAATTGAAATCGAAATGGAAACTGAATTGAAATAGAGCCATTGGCAATGCAGCTGCCCTGGCTACGTGGTGGGTCCAGTAAAATCAGACACAGAATAAATTTAAATACAATGCAGCAGCTACAGATTGCCGAAACAAATGTGGTTACAGCTGAATAGTGCTCTTTCGGACCCAAAACGGAAAGCAAGTTCGTTGCCTAAGTCTTTTGATTGATTGACTAAAAGTCGACGAATTTATGGCACCATCATCCCCCTCTCATTTCTCTTTTTCCTCGGAGCCATAAAACCCCACCTTTTCAAGCTTCCGACTGGCGAGTGACAAGCTTTGCAAATTGTTACACACTATCATTCAATGTCATTGCTGAAAAAAATTGGCGAAACCAATGCAAAGCAGACACACACATAAGAAAATCGCAAATCTCGCACTATATTCCATCATCGAATTTGCATATGCAAATTTCATTCCCACGACTTTTAATTGCAATGAAAACAAAAACTAAAACTGGACATCGTATGGAAATGCTGAAAGAAGACCTAGAAGTAGCCAAATAATTTAATTCTCGATAGTTGTTTGTCTTTCAAGCTGACGAAGCCAAGGTCAGT